CCATCTTCTTCCCTGTTCATAACTTTCTATCACTTTTTACTGCTTTCTTCCTTGTTTCTGTATCTTTCATCTTAGTGCTTTATCTCTTAGTGTGCTGATATGAGATGTGACAACTTGAACCGTTACGCAGTAACTCCAGGTTCAACACCGGTATTCACCAACTGACTGTATAAGAACACTGTTTTCACGATAAGATGGTGTCATTTTATTTCGTAGGGTCTGCTTTCAACCTGAGTAAACAGATGCATTATGGCTGTGAACTTTTCAACATACTTTAAATGAAGGATTTTGTGGGGTCAGTTATTCTTTTGCAGATCAGAAAAGCATAAAAGTTTAGAGAAAAACAGGAAGCTGTAATAAGGTAGAACTTAATCAAAGACATTTGCATAATGAAGTGGAAGGAATGTTCTCGAACTAGTAAATGAAGATAAGATATACAAGCAGTTGGAAACATATCAGCTGTCAAAATATTATCTAAGTAAACGATTAATAGATGATGAAGTAATAACGATGATGACTGCAATAATAAGGAATGCAGTAACCGTAACAATCGGCAGTGAATATTAAGGTGATCAGGGATATGCATACAATTGCATTGCTAAAACTTCCAAGATGTGACATTTTGGGTGAAAATATCACTCATCACCCGAGTGGTAAGAGCTCGTAGCTGTCTAATTTGAGCACACAAATCAGGCTGAATTTGTAGGGTAAAAATGGTCTTTGCAGACCCAAGTAACTGAGTTTATATTTTGTACTTATTGGCACTCATCAGCAAGATGTGTCCGCAGCTTTGACGGAAATGATGTCCCGCTTGAATTTCCAACCCACTTTACCCAGTGTTGTTTCCTTCAACCAACCAATATCTGTCAATGTGCACCGCAATGCTGAGCCTCCCAGCTTGGTGGCCTCATTGCAGAAATGGTCGGTCGAATGCAGTCTTCACTTAGGACTAGACAACATGCATTGGTTGCTCTCCTGTGACCAATCGATGGAAGTATGAATTCTTTTATCTTTTAACTACTATAAAGGACTTTCATTGCCTCGACTTGGTGTCAAGTATCCAAATTTCGAAAATATATCCCAAGGTAATTCATATAAATTATGTTAAAAGAATTAAGTTTGGTTACTAGTCTGCTTATTCAGGTTGTTTCCAGGTGATGAATATCAGATGTCATCTTATTCCACAAATAGTATTATCATTGCGTTGTTAGTTTGTAAAGGAAACTAAGAATTTGACATTTCCGGAGTAGCCAATCCAAGCACACTCTTTCAGTTAGCGATGATTCGATGGATAATATAAAGACTTATAAGAATTGTCTTGAAAATATGTTCTCTACTTCAATCTTTTAAACCACTGTGTTCACAGAAATAGCCACCATATCGCAAAAGTCTTCGAATAGATCAGGACAATGATAACCAACTTAAGACCGGAATCAACTAATTTTGACAAGTTTGTAACTGATTTAAAAACTATTTTCCAACGGAAAATCATAAATTTTATTCAAAATGGTCATTTAGAAATATATATATATATATATATATATATATATTATATATATATATATATATATATATATATAACTTATGGAGTATTTAGCTGAACTAGCTGCAAAAAGGAGCTTTTTCCCTCCGGCTTCAATCCTGAGTCCTAAAGAAAGTTTTTAACAGAGCTTGGATATTTCACTCACTCAATTACTTTCGCTTTCTTACTTATTCTCTCTCTCCCTCTAAACATGTCTACTTTAAAATTCCTATCTACTCGTTACTTGTATATTGTGTAGTATGGTAACGTGAACCAAAGTACACTTGTGGAAGGTTCTACGTTATCTGTCTCCGTTGCGGGTGTAATAAGTGAACCAAAATGTATCAGTCCGATGCACTTATAATGAATAATTCGAATAGAACACCGAGGAGTAGTTAACTGAGGTCCTCAGAGAATTGTGAAAAAGAAAATCGATTGACAAGCAAATATTCACCGAACTTAACCAAAAGGAACTCACCATTTATGTGTACACTGCCTAAACACATAAAGTAGGTGTAATGGTGAGACCATATTAATTTATAACTGACTTTTTCGATAGTTTGCAGAAAACTGGCAAACGATTCGCAAAAAAATTACTGCCAAGAGAGTAAAATATTTAAATTTCAGTGTAGTACTCATCATAAGCTGATATCAGTAGAGCGAATACTGAAAACCTGAAACCACTGGATAGATGTTTCGTCCTAATATAGAACTCTTTAGCAGACCACATTTACGATTCCATGAAAGGTCGCATCCAGAACCGCCATACCTCGTGGTGAGTACTCCAGCATTCAGACACTGTGTTGAAGTCTCATAATCCGGATTTTCCTACTTCTTTCAATGTGTAACTATTATCCGACGTTGTCGATGAGTATTTGTCTTCATGCTGCTTCCAATAATCACATTACGACGAAATAGCTGTCCAGTGGTCTTAGATTCTTAATGTTTCTCCAACTGATCTCCACTCATTGTATGCACTACAATGAAATTAATGAATACCAAAACATCGCCAATTGAATTTCATTGAAAGATCCCAGATAAATTCATGACATATTTCACAAGTACATCTCTTCTTGAACCAAAGTATATCATTTGTTAACAGATAGAAGATATCACACAACCAAAGACTGGTTTGAAACTCCGCCTGTCCATGTAAACTAAGGATGTCCTAGTTCTAATTCGAACGTGCCACATACTTAAGTTGATGAGAAGTCTGCTTGGACCAATATTGATAGACATCTACAGATTACACTTAGAAAACATCGTAAAATCCTCAGGCCTAAAAAGTATGTTTTATTTGACTTACGTTGATACTACCTTCACTTTTTGAGAGAACATTCAACAATCCAAACGTCACTTCAGCACTTTAACAGTGTGCAGATTCCAATAGTAATTCTACAATCGATTGTGAAGCGGAACAATGCTTAAGACATTGCTGTGTTTTTACAACTAACGGTTACGTACACTACACAAAAATGCGGTAGGAACGACATAAAAGTTGATGACTAGTAGACGATGCTTTCGAGCATCTCATCACTTAATGAAACCAATAGCTACTGAGTTTCAAATTAAAGGTAATGGGGTAATACCAGCCTGTGAGATTAAGGTAAAAGCTTACACACACGTTCATGAGCCCATTTAGCAGCTCTTTAAAATTGCAGACAAATAGGTGAATAGGAAATACAATGACAAGTAAGGAATGAATAGATAAAACTCGATAAAAAGTTCGCGATTTCGAAGAGAATAAGGAGCTACATCATAAACCCATCAGTAGGTGTTGTGTTATCCCAAGGTCCCTCAGCTACGGATATCTCCATATGCAAGTCATAACATTTCGAGATTGATGCTACATCTTGGTCTGAAAAGCCTTCGCTTTTCTCTAAAGTAACCTCCATTCCAGCTAATATAGTACGTCCAGGTAGATGGTGGCCAAGTAGGCGCAACATATGTTTGAACCACCTCATTCGGCTTAATTTCACAATCTCTTTTGATGGTTTACTCTTCTCACTTGGCACTCTAAGTCTAGCCTCAGTACTGCATCTAGTGGTTCCGTTGCACAAGAGATGGTGTGAAGATGCCTACGATCACTAAACCTATAATCTCACGTCTGTCGCCTTTAGCAGTCATGTTTTACACGCGCACCATTCACCTGAGCTACAAATATTTCGCACTACAGTATTGTCGTCCTGCAAGCTTAGACAAGATGATTCCTTTTCTTGCTATCGTATGAAAACTTATCTACTTTCTTATGAGCTGAAATGATCATTGGAAGGGAAAATTGTATTCAAAGTACATTTAATTGTAACACGCTACTTAGTACTTTACTGATGGCTGACCATCATCCGCAAAGACTTCAGGGAAGTAAGTTGCCTTCTCTTTTAATCAATTCACCTGCATTTAGTCGAATAAAGAAAAGTAACCCAGATTTTGTCAACAATTTAGCTCAACAGCTGTTCAGTATGCACTGCTAAACCAAAACCATAAAAAGGTGCAGAGGCCTCAACAGCTAAGTTAACTGAAGTTTATAAACACAATCCAAAGATGTCTTATATTTCAGATACACAGTAATACAGTTATGTCTTACTGCACTCATCAGCTTATTATCTTAAGACGACTTTCCTGTAAAAGTAAGAGACAGTAAGTCTCAAGAAAAACACACAGCTTTCATATTGAACACCATAAAAAAAAACCTGCCATGTAGAATATAGAGTGAATTAGAACTAAACTCTACATATAGATACAATTAAGAATATGTATTGCATAGATGCATAAAAGCAGTCAAAAGAATCCCTACAATCAAACTGAAATCTTGATTCTTCAAACAAGCATTGTATAAGACTAGTATCACACCAAATAGAAAATATATCATGCCTTAACACATGAGTGAAATATTCCCAATTTTAATAATCAGTAACATTAGTAATGAAATTTGTAGTCCTGTAGAGAAACTGCTAACGCGTTCATTTATTCATTTCATAAAAAAATGTTTTTTTTAACCTTTACAGGACTCATTCTGTAACAAAGTGATTACAAAGCCAACAAAACACTACAATCTAATATACGTTAATGTTGTAGGATATGAATTACATTCAATGTACGTAGATTTGTGACATTATATTTACTCAAGAAATGCAATGGAAATCTACTCAGCAACCCTAAGCACATTCATCCAGTAGGCACTGTGCTATACTTACTGGGTGAGGGCTAGTGATGTTACCTGACTGTCCAGACCTTAGTAGGTAGGGTTGGCTTCGAACCCATCAAGCGGAATACAAACGCCTAAACCAATGAGCGACAGCTCAACTCAGGGCAGATGTATGAAGTGAGATTTGAATCTGAGACTCACTGGGAAATCATTCTAATCACTTCATACCACCTTCCTTTTTGTGATTTCGTAATTCTGCTAGTCTAATATTGTCAACAAAAAGTCTCTCGGAGCATTTGTTGAATTATACTTGCATTTGAAACAAGTCAATATCCAACTTCCAAGTTTATTGGTTAAATAGCATAACAATTAAAATATTTACACATTTTAAAAACATATTTTGAAATCCTTTACAGAAGTTTAATATAAGAAAGTGAAATGATTTAGCAAAACACGAAGAAATAATCACAAAGTTATGCACAAAATAACTCATCACTGTCCATTTTAAACAAAATTTTTCTTTTGAAAAAATATGCAAAGAAATTAAAACGTTGGCGATGAAAGTATAAAGAATTGTGTTTTCTTTGATTCAATCCATTTGACTAGCTGTTTACGAATTTCACCTATTTGTGCTTTTGTAATTATTGGTTCTAGTGTTGCGTACAATTCAAATGTATCAGTTTTCTGTGTAAATGGAAAGAAAATAGAAAGGTCTAAAATGAAAAGCAGATATAATTAAAATAATACCAGATGTTCATAGCTTAAACTATGTGCGTTCTGGTAAAACCGTTCACAGAATAGAGTTACCATTGTAGTTATCTAGTCTTAAGTAATGATCGAAATCAATCCATTAACTTATAAACGCGACCATTAAGATGAAGGACAGGATAGTGCAGTGAACTTTTGATGGTGTTGTGTTATCTGAGCTGGATGGTTTAATCGAAAACCTTCCATTGTCATCCTAGACAACATCAGCACCACAGACTTCAGGAAGAAGTGAGCTGTAAGGTTTTCTTCATAATTTATTTAGTAGCTTATCGTGATGGCCTTGTGTGTGGTTGGTTGTTTCTCCCAAAGTCTTGTTAACGTCTCCATATTTATTTTGATTGGTTCTTCTCATGACCTGAAATTTGACCTTCTTGTTGTTTTTTATTAGTTGATAGATTGGATCAGTGTCAATATGTCTGTTGATTCCTGACTGACCTGAATACCAAGCTTCTAAAAATTCTCTAGGATTCTTTATATTTCCTCTATCCATGATCGCCACATTTTCTTAGTCAAATTCATGTCAACAGTTATCCTTTTGCATTGATATGAGCGAAGATATGTCATGAAGCTTCATATAGACGGATACGAAAAGGATGATCACTTTGTCCGATGTAGTGCTGATGATGTTGTCTAAAATGACAATGGAACATAAGGCTTCAGTAGCACATCTCCATTCCACTCTCTTCTCCGCAATCCTTTGAACCTGGCTCCACGACAGCCCACAAGCTCTCATTTCTTCCTCACACCATCTCCTCCATGTCATCCTCACCTCGGACGCCCAACTCGTCGCTTCCCATCTGGGTTCAGCTTTTTGATTGCCATTCTATACTCTGTTCTATGATGATGCGAAGCGTTGCAATTTGGTCCGCATATGATTCGTCACAGTTATTCATCATTACATTCAATACAGGTAAGTTGGAGATCATACCTAGAGATATGGCAGCTTGAAATGATCCACTTTTAGGTCCTCATTCCCAACCAAACTGCAGTTTCATTTGAACAATATCTGATCGTGTGTGAGGCACAGTCACTCAAATGTTATTATTGCATTACGCTTCCCGTCAACTTTTTAATTCAAAAATTTAATGATTACCAAGCAGAATAGTAAAATAGAAGACAATTATTTGGTAACTGAAACTAATACAATTGTATTTGTTGACTGATTCATTTATTTTTAGGTGATGATGATTGTACTGATCAACTGATCCGAAACTAAGGATAAATACTCTAGCTAAATAAAGCATGCATCAGCGTTTACCAGCTTAGCAGACAGGAAATGGTTTTTATCTTCAAGATAAATAAAGATTTATCCGATTGTCACCAACCTATAAAACAAATCACACCAAAGATCGTCCCTAGGATCCGCTCTACTTATTAACATCCAAATATATGGCTGAATTTGTCAAACCTTCAGTAAAAGGTATAATCACTGTCTTCAGTGGTTTTCCTTACAACAGTAAATATATTAAACATGAATAAAATTGACTGTCAGGTTGCCATTCAACAGTGACAGATATCAGTTAAAGAACCACTGAAAACCATGATGAATACTAACTAACCTGAAATCAATAAATAAAATCCCCACAAAACCACGAAAATTGAAAATGTAAAATTTACCGGGAAGAGTTGTAAAACTCGTATTCTAGATTAAATGTTGTGTACGCTGATGTGTCAGAGGTAAAAGGCTCAGAAACCGTAAATTATCTACTTAGTGCAGATGACCGACCAACAGTGGTCAAGAGAACTAAAACCTTCGGTGCTGCAGAATCAACCATTAAATGGTAGTCTGACGTTGGCATTCGTCACTTAATTCGAAATAGGTGAAAATTACAGATAGACACAATCAACGTAGAACCTCGCAAGCAAGTGTATCAGTTCCACTTGCATTATTTCACAATATTATGAAAAGAACAAGCGGATAGAAATACAGAGAAGTGTATGGGAAGACAAGGAATTTGAAAATCCAAGTTTGCCAAAATACTCAAGTTTTAGATGTCACAACGTGAATAAATCGGCACCATTGTTATCAAGAGTCTGCAACCACTGATTCCTATCGTTTCTACACCTGCTTATGTGGCTCAGATCAACAGTCAGAGACTGCATCAACTAATGTCATATTGTGGTCTGTCCACTCTGAAATTCTTTTCAACCTAAGCCAACTTCTTCGGGGATTGCGCATCAAGGTAGGCGATGGTTTTACAGGAGCAGCACATGACCAAGCCAGATTACGACATCTGGGAGCTCTATGTAAGCTGACCCTTTTTAGTGATTATTCATAATGCGGTCATTTTCCGCAGCTTCTGTTTAAACTGAATCATGATGCAGTCCAATATATTATGGTTACTGGATTCAGCTATCTCATTATCTGATAACTAGGAGATTTAAAATGATTGTCTTGCGTCCACACACCAGTTCCCTTCATATACCAACAATTTTTAGGTACCAACAACACCCTGATGAGAATCCTACGGAATACTTAAATGTTTTACGGCAGTTGGCTGCTTGATTGATCTCCATGCTCTCAGAGAGCGTACAAAATGACTCGGTTTGTCCACGCCTCACCCAAAGGTTCCACGGGAAAGATTTACAACTACATCTGCTACGGTTTCTGATACTCGCCACTGGGTTTCCGACATACCTTTCTGGTGCTTAGTGCTTAGCAATGACACAAGTCCACTATGTGGCCAATAAGTTAAGGGATGCGACACTGCAGTACACTGAGCTTCTGTGTTGAATGTGTAGAGTTAATTAACCGACAAATTCCAAGCATCTAAATTTCGTCTTTTAAATATGGTTTTAAAACTATATTTAAAAAAATCACTAGAAAGGTGGGATACTGTCAACAGCAGTAGAATAGAAAACACCAGTACTAAGATGAATATATATATATATATATATATATATATATATATATATATATATGGATGGATCGAATTTATTTCGTGTACTCTAAATCTTCCATATACGCACTAAATTTAAAATTGTGTACAGTTTTATACTTCACAGAATTCATCATAAGCCTACTTGGATCGATCAGCATTTGTCATTTAATAATTTCTGTTCCATCGCTTATAAAAGAAGTCTAGTCGACTACTTTAAAAGGCAACCACGAAAGTCATTGAAAATGAATTGGAAAATATTCGTAAAACTTTGTTAGATAAGGGATATCTCATAAAGTTAAGTATTAAATACTTTAAATCTAAAAACGAGAAATTGAGTGATACAACCGTACTGAGAAAGAGAGTGTTCATTAAACTACCAATCACAGGTGATGAATTTAGTTCGCAAAATAATCGCCGACTGAATGAATGTGTCGGACTAACTTATCCAGATGCGAAATTAGCGGTTGTCTATGACATGAAGAACATGATCACAGAAACTAATTTACATGTGAGACCTCTTCATGTTACCTGTAATCGTATCTATTTATTTGCCTGTACCTGGAGGGACGGAGAGTGCCCTTGCTAAACGAATCTCTGAACATGTACCGAAAAATCTGTCATTGAGAGGTGGGAGGTTACCAACCAGTGCCATTGGTAAACACATCCTCGATACAGGTTATGCTGTCAACTCGAACACGGTTTTCATGGTGACCAATCGACAAAGAAATAGTGGAGTGCCACATTATGCAGAACTAACAGCAATCCGTCGACTGGAACCTAACTTATGTGTACAAAGGAGTTTGTGGATCACCTTGCACTGCCTTGGTGAATTATTCTTTTCTTACACCTTTACTTACTAGTTTATTCCTTCGTCTTATTGTCTTATGTATTATTCTCAAACATTATTCATATCCCCATAATTTTCGATTTAATATATTTAAACCATCGTTTTTGGCATATCCTTTTCCATTCCTCTTCTATTAATTCATACACTTTGTACACCAGCCTTTATTGTTCTCCCTGTTTTATCAAAACTCCTACCACCCTGAGCTGCAATCATATACCTGCGCTATTATTACCTTGTATGATTTTCTCTAGTGATCAATTTATAGTCTGATTTATTATTTTACTCATTCCCTGTATTGGTTGATTAGGTCGTGAACCTTGGCATTGATCGCTATAAATATGTATTGATGTCTAGATGTAAAAGATGAATTTAATGTTGATTTGACTCTTGAAGTGTATCAAATGACCTATGCTAGACACTGGATAGCTCACTGTACACAATTTTAAATTTAGTCTATATGTGAAAGATTGAGAACATTAAATGAATTCAATTCATCGCAAAATCTTGGTTGTTTTTGTGTTGCATATATATATCTTCTGCTTACATGTAACTAAACTGTGGTTTGTACTAAGAGGTTAGTGATGCCGAAGACACTATAGCGGCTATAGATAATAAGATTTTCAGAAATAAAAACTGTGTATATTGCGGCGTATGGTATACACGAAACAAAATATCTCTAGTTTTCGAAGAATTCATAACATTTTGGCGCAAACATTTAAGACTGACTAGATGTAAACGCACACTATGCCGTGTTAGAACCCCGTCTACTACGAATGAGAATGAAAGGCAGCTAATGGCAAACGAACAGCGTTCATTAATGAGTTGTTCTCAGTTGTTCATAATTTTATCAGGCTACGCAAGTTTTTTCAGGTTGTTTGACACTAACACAGAGAGTCATCACTTTTTATTAGTATGCTGTAACTTGATACTCAAATATGGATATTTCAATTACAAAATCCATCATATTACGATAGTTCAAAATCAACGTATCATTTACACTACATAACCAAACTAGTTACAATATATGAAGATTCTATATGTCAATAGGAATCAATCAAATATATTTTTATAAATGGAAATGAGGCGCTTGACTGAAAGATCCCATATGCTCATTAGTTAAGTCATTATCATCATCATTATCAACATAGGACCAGGCATTACTGCCTAACACTCCGAGTTGCCACACCTCACGTCAGTTCATCAAGTAAAAAGGTAGTGAGGTGAAGGATGAAGATAAGTGAATGCAGTCAAAAGAAATATAAAGTACGAGAAGAAAGAAAAGAGGAGTGACAAAATGGTGAGATTCGATATAGCGTTGTTAAGATGAGGATAGTATGTGTATACATCTGCACCACTGACTTCGGTTCCCAGCCATATCACCTAGGGTCTCCAACCACTGGTTCCTCTTATCCCGCCGACCCCAACCACCTAGTCTGCATCGTCCTACATGGCTTAAACCAACAGTCAGAGACTTCATACATTGGTGCCATGTTTTAGTCTGGCCACCTCGGGCCTTTTTCAGCCTGGACCCACCTCAGCCAACATTGTGTGACGAGGCAATCGGTGACTAGGCATATGTAGTACGTGTCCCAGTCATCTCATTAGTTAAGTCGATATGTGAAACCGTGAAAAAAATTACTTTACAAAGAAAACAAAAAACTAACCCATCCAATGAATAATTCTGTAGTTGTTACTTTGTATATGAATTTTGTCGGTATTCTGAATGAATGTAACCGCATATGAAGGCGTTTATATGATAACAATACACCTTGACGTAATTTATGTATGGTATTACTATCAATCAATTCAATTTTATTTTCTGGATTTATATTAGATGTAGAATTAGCAGATAATTCAGATTTAATAGCGTATGGCATACTCCACTGGCTGGCAATGTACTGATCAATTGATGTAGATTTATAAACAAAATGTCGTAAATTCTTAATACCAGTATCAGAAATTTGTGGAAGTTTCGAAGATGATATTGAAGATAAATACTCATCATTATTTGCAGTACTCAATAGCTAATAAAAATTTAGACAAATAAAAGAAAAATAATTTTCGCAGGAGAAAACAAAAAAACAAATTGTCAAACTGTAGCTCAGTTGGTAGAACGCCGGGACGGTAACCCAATGGTCGCCGGTTCGAATCCAGCCGCGATTGAGATTTTCATCTCAACTTCAATCATCACCCAGTAAAAATATTAAAATTATTGATCAAGAAACCTTTTCACAGACAAACAGCCACACGGAACCCTCTTCCAACCCAATCCAACTTCCTCTAGTGTGGCATGTCAAGGTAGGTGGTGGATCGGTATGTGCAGCACACATCCAAGGCCATCTTATGATGAAGATTCACAACTTCATCAGTCGATTTGCCTATCCTGTCCAGTGCCATTCACTTGACCTTCACATTGCTTACACGATTCCACTATATGTGAGCAATGCTACGAAGATAAATATGATCAAGACCCTGTCACCACCTCATGTTTTTTAATTCCTAATGGCCATGTCTCACAGCCGTATAAGAGGACAAAACGGACTGCCACACAGTATAATCGTTCTTAGATAGTCAGATAGTCGGGTGACGGCAGTTAGCAAATGCGAAACGGGCCTTCTGCATCCGAGCTGAGATTTCGTCAGTAACTGACATGTTCTAGGAGATGCGACCCCCGCAACCTAATAACAAAGATGAGAAAAACAACTAACTCTAGTCCCAATATAAGTCAACGTGTTTATTACACACGAAATATAATATCAGGGTTTGAGATATCAGCTATATGGTCCTTAAACTAGCAACTCATGTTGACATATGACTAAACGTATGGAAAGTGAATGATTTTGCAAGTAGACGTGCGACTTTTATTCTTAAATTATGACTGATTCATTTATTCTACATAATTAACTATATACACTGCCGTTTGATAAACTTGCTTGCATCAATTCACGTCTAAATTCAATAAAAGGAACTGAAATAAACGATCTCTCCGATGGTGGTTATGCAAATCATGTGTGAACTCAGCGCTCAGTCACCATGTGCACATCCATGCAGTAGGCAACGAGCCACACGTATTGTGTGAGGGTTATAGATTCCAGCTGGCTGCCCAAACCAAGCCACAGGTCAGTGGTTTATGAAAATGACTATCAACCAGAGGGTTGAGGGTTCGAATCCCGCTTCACCTAACTACATTTGGGCAGCCAGGTACAATAACCAGCCCATACACAATACGTGTTTGAATTCAGACACAACCGGGAGCAAGAATGTGCGTATTAACCAGCTTGCTTAGTTGGATTTCTGTAAGTACTGAATAATACCTATTTCTCTAGACTCACCAAAAAGCTATAAAATGCTGAAAGCATTCAGAAGTGACCAGAAAATCACAAGATTATGACTAGAACTACTCGCTAGTATGCGTCAATGACAACGTTCTAAGATACTGCTGAAGAGTTAAGGCTACTCGTAAACATAAGGATGATATAGTATTCTGCATATAGTCGACCTTGAAATAAACCGTTTGTTGCCCTACTGTCTTTTTTCTTTACGAGTAACTAGGCAATAAGTGAAATGGAATTTAAGTTATTGTTTAAGTGTTCACAAACTTATATTAGGTTAAGTCTTATGGCATTTTCCAAAACACCATCATACAGTCTATCATTTACAACATAATGATAATTAGCTTGAAGTTTATGTGTATTTTATTTCCAAGGTTATATTCATCATGGACTGAAATCAGTCAGGGAACCATTAAAAACGTGAGAGCACTGAGGATGGCTGTTTCATCCTAGTGTGTTTAATCCCTGACGGAATCGTGGGTGCATACTACTGAGGAGTCCCATACCAAAACGAAACAGTTGTTCAAGTTTTCAATGGTTCTCCAATTGATATCAGTCCATGATGAATACAGCCTTATTTTAATGGATCATACATTGATCATAGATTTTAACCTGTGTACACGGTATCGACATGGTCAACATATACCACACAAACGTTTTTGCGAAATTTTGCTTTAGACCTCCGCCAGTTAAAAGATAGAATGTACCAGAACAGATGATACACATGACGCAAACACATTAAATGGTAAATTATAAATGAAGTTAGTGTTGTAATGATTTAAGAATGTAATGCTTACTGTAAATATCTTTTCAGTGATTGATTTGAGTGGATAAAATTGGCTACTATCGACAGTAAGTAAAACCAAGCATGTTGTATCATTAAGGTAGGTAACACTAGCATACAAAAACCCGCTGAAATCAAAAATAAAGATAAAATACTAAGTTAAAAAGACGTATAGTCATGTTTGTCTTTAGTGTATATACTTGAAGAAGCCCTGTTGATCATATTTAACTAGCTAACAAACGAGTATTGTTAATGGCACAAGTAAACAACATATGAAAATATTTACCATAGTTGCTGAATCCCAAACAAATGGATTCTCAAAAGATACGTGTGTAAACCTGCGTAAATCACTGCTTACTTTGAGGCAGTACTCCAGCTATTTTATAGGTTTCTTTTCTATTGTCATTACTATGTACAGACAACTCCAGACAAGCAAATAGAGACAAACAACAACAACAACAATGTAGAATCTCATGCACAGCAGGACTCAAAGGGATAAACGGGTTGAGAAAGAGTGACACCAAAGTATAAAAGTGTACGGGAGGAGAAGTTATTTGAAAATATAGGTTGGTAAAAATTTAAACAGTGAATACATTTGCGTCACTGTGACTGACTTTCAGAAGTATCGCCAAGAATCCTCAACCACTGATTTCTACTATCTTAAGAACTCCAGTCAGGCAGTCTACACTTCCCTACATGGCTCAGATCAACAGTCAAAGGACTTCATGAGCTGATGCTACGTCTCAGTTTGGATATCCTGGGTCTTCTTCCTTTCCAACTCTACTCCAATTAACTATACACGTCGAGATAACCGGTGGCTCGGCATGCGTAACACGTGTTGAGGTTACTTCAGTCGGCGAAGATCCACAACTTTGTCAAGTGACTTGCTTACCTTGTCCAGCACCCTTCGTCTAACCTTGATGACGATAACAATGGCCATGTTTCACCCATTAGTATACTAAAATATATTACTAGAAATAGTGTTTACTAAGGCGAATTATACGAAATATGATTCAGTACAATAGTACTTAGGAAAAAATATGATTTTCTTTACCGAGTTTCCCAGTTTAACTCCTTGTTTTTGATTAGTTGATTGTCAACATATCAAATTTCATATTCGACTGTTTGTTAGTTAATTGCGTCACTGCGTCTGACCGCTTCACGTATGTTAACCCATAAAAAGGACGATAATCAGCAAGTAATTTTCACCAATCAAAATAGAACGGTAATATTCATGAGAAAGATTAAGCATTTATAAACAATTTTTTCTCAGTTTCCATCGTCACTCTTGTATATAATGATTGGTTTGCGAACCAAATCTATCTCGAATGGTCAACAATATAATAAAACAAGACAAACTAGCCGTAAATACGACTTTAGTATTGACCAACTAATATAAAGTGATATGCTAATATACACTTTTGAACATTTGAACAATAACCTTCAGATTCCATTCTTGATGGCTTTTTAACTCTTGGTAAAGAGAAACAACCAGGAGGTTAATTATGCACAAATGTATAGTAGTACTTATGTCTAAAGTAGCCTCTGTTATTTGCAGGCCTTTCCAGTTAGGTATCCCCAGTTTATTTTTGTCTTATCAACTAAGATTATATTTACATGTATGATAACGTGATTTCCTCGGACATTCCAAGTGTATCCATTAGTTTTGAGAGAATTTGGAGAATTTGGACAATAATATTGTACACAACAACAATAACATTAGGATTTAAAAATTTGCGACAAATAAGTACTCATCATCTTAAATATTATTACTAAGCCAATAGTTATGAAGGTCATACATAATAAAAAGGGGACCAGCTGTTATCAAATATTATCATTTATCGTTATCAAATTAATGGACCTAATTTCTGGATTACTGTTACAGTAATTTCCACACAACGATTCTCAGATGTAGTCATGAGTATAATTGTGATATCATTCGGTAGCAAGTGACAGTCGAATTTAGGACTTGAGACTTATCAGACATATACATCTGCTTGACCATTAAAAATCGAAATGTACTCAGAAGCCTTTTTTACATTCATGCAGTAGGCAATGAACCATACCTATTTGTGAGGGCTAGTGATACTACCTGGCTTTTTAAACCTCGATAGGTGACTCGAAACACTGATTCATCGGTTGAAAGTCATCGCCTTAAACCAATAAACCAAAGCTCCACTAACTATTAAAATAACAGATCATAATTAAATTTATGTTGTTGCTTCTATTATCCCATCGTTGGTTGAATCGAACTAATCGATCGATCCGGTTCAATCAACGATGGGATCATACAAACAACAAGATAAGAACTATACCCGTCGCACAAGAAGTGGCTACCGTGACTCAGTGGCCTGGTGGATAATGCTCTAGCATTTGAAGCGATCTGTCCCAGGTTCACGTATTGGTGGAAACATCACTCACATTGGAGTGCAGCTTATGAGGCAAAAACAGGACGAAACCCACGTCCTGGATTTCACTGCTAGCCACTATCCATTCTTAATACAACAATTAAACTGCTTAAATAACCACCAAGAGGGTAAGCACAACCTAGAAATGAAGAGAAAAAGTTGAAACACCTACAGGCTCTTTCATAAAATAAAAGCAGAGAAACTAACGACCATAAATCTTGATACGAACAATTTCCCTGAGATGTTGACTGGACAGATGGATTTTTTACGAAGTTTGAAGTGCTATGCTTTTGTTTCCTACCACGAATATCGAATGAAAGGGTAAACAGTTTCCACTTCGATTGGTAACTACAACAATACTCACTAATGAAGAGTATAATTAGATCGAACGCATTCTTTAAGTATTATTATATTGGGTGATGATCGAAGGTGAAATGAAAATTTGGACCGAGGCCGAATTCGAACCAGTGACCACTGGGTTTCCTACCCGATGCTCGTAGCTCAGTTAGTAGAGCACCGGGTCGGGAACTCGGTGGTCGCTGGTTCGAATCACCTTTAATTATCACCCAGTATAAAACCAATCTGCCAAATCACAGCTACCTCAGATAGTCGACATGATAATTAAGTATATTACTCAATATCTCTTAAGTCATACAATATGCTTACTTAGCATCGAATTTAGGCAAGCAAATTGGTAACCAATGTGATTGAGCCGACTTGAAAGATTGTGAACTTCCGATCAGATTGAGAAGTATGTGGATATCCGATGGACAAAGATGATGATTCTTCATACGTACAATGCTGATAATATCATCTTTGTGAAATAAGATTGCGAATACTAAACCCTGGGATAAGCGACAAAATAAGATGGTGTAAAACAGTTAATTGTGAGTAGATTATAACAACTACATTTCACGTGTGCTGTGTATCAAAACAAAGAAATATTTAACTCTCATGTGAAATTTCATGATTTTTAATTAGATCATGGAAAGTAGATTGAGTGAAAAAACTTTAGTATTAAGCAGAGATACTAACCGATGCCGACGGAAAATTGGTCAGCGATCTTTGTTTTATTAGTGGAATCGAAACACCCAAACTTCAAACAAGCCATACAGAATGTTATTTGTTGACATTGATAATTTGAAGATACTTTTTCCAAGCTAAAGCTACAACCAAGAAGTCTTTCCACCTTAAAAATCATCAACTTCATATTTTATCATCTTTTACTAACCGACGTGAAATAGTTTAACTGGTTCATACTCCTCGTTATCAGAATATATTTTAATATAATCCCAGCGTGTTTAGAAAGTCAAAACAAGATTTATCTGGACATTCCGCTGTGTAGGTCACAGATTCTTCAGCAAAATATACGGATTTTTATTGATATTAATAAAATACCTCGTCAAATGATACATCAAATATATTTAGTGAATGTAGGTAGTTGGTTAGGTGGTTTTTCTGTCCAGCCTGTGTAATTAAAACTAGCCACCACAAGTTCATGCTTAAGATTGTCATTTGCCAACAAATATGTAGGATAGTCAAAGTGTGTGTGTGTGTTCATGTATGTCGTAGAATGTGTTGTTCCTTGTACTTCTATTTATAAACTGTCAATAATTGTCAGTATTAGTGATTTCCTTGGTTGTGGCTGGCCGAAGAATCCAGGACGCTTGTTTCATCCCATTTAGGACTCGTCAACTGGATGTATGTGCACCCCACTGAGTGATTTTGTTCTCACTGAGACTCGTACCCATCACTTCAAGCGCCACATCGTTATCCACTACGCTACTGAAGCACAATAGCCACCTCTTGTACAACGGATATTAGTTATATTTATTTTCAGGCAATATCAAGGCATCCACATAGGAGCCTATATGCTAACAGAGGTCGAACAATTCGATCTGACAAAACAATGGAGAATTATAAGTAAATCAACAAAAGTTATAATTGTCATTGTTGTTGTAGCTTCAATTAGAAAAGGTTATCGTTAATGGTTTTGTCGGATAAATGTTTGCTAAACAGGGCCTAGAGAGTTAATCTTTTTTTGTGTGAATAGAAACCCTTTCCCAATATGTCTACATTCTCAAAGTCAATCATGTGTCCACTTTCGATTGTATGTATAGCTATTGCTGATCATTCTAAAATTGTCTTAAATTACTCTTGATTCTTCAGAGTGGATAGAAAAACCACCTAACCAATATCTACATTCATAAATATATTTGATGTATCATTTGACGAGGTATTTTATTAATGTCAATAAAAATCCGTATATTTTGCTGAAGAATCTGTGACCTACACAGCGGAATGTCCAGATAAATCTTGTTTTGACTTTCTAAACACGCTGGGATTATATTAAAATATATTCCTATAATGATTCAATCGAACTCACAGCTCAACCAAAGTCTGGATGTTTATAAGACTCATACTTCAGTTTACAAGTTATTGTTCCTTTCTGCGTTATTACACATAATGCATACTACTAAAAGTTATCATACTTTACTATTGAACACAATAGTAATAATGACATCAACTAGATGAAATTTTCACGCTTTTTCTCAAAGTACGTCTCCTCAACTTTACAAAATCTATCACCATTACGCTTGACTGAATAATCAGTGAATCTATTAAATATATAAACCACATAAAAAATTGTTTTTACACAGGTCAGGGAATCAAGAAAAGTGTTAACTAAAAATAAGAAAACAATATTGATCAAGTGTAGCTTCCTGCATTCACTAGTTCAACAAGTATCGGAGTCAGTTTTACAAAAGATACTAAATTTTGTTCACAATTCAGTTACACAAAATAAATAATTAATAATTTCATTCTACAGTCGATTGTTGGCAACATAACATAGTCGATTTTTCAAGATCTCTGCTGCCGTTTACAAGAGTAAGTAAACTTGAAGAAACATAAAAGTGGCTGAAAGCAGTAGTTTGTCTTCAAAACACCCTAGAACCATTTATCAACTGGAAAAGCTAGTTTGTAGCTTGATAGTTTTGAATTTGGTCTCAACCAGCACTGTTTTCAAATTCATGAAATTGAAGATAACCTCTGGTTTCTTTTCACATGAAAAATGTAACCAAGAAACGTATTTTCACAGTAGAACAATGAAATGTATTAAGTAATCAACTAGATGGTATGATAAAGATAGGACTTGCTAAAAGGTACCTTAAAAATACCCTGTCAGATTATTGTTTCACATGACACAAATACGCTGCCGTTTTCATCAGGCTTTTCGGTGTTATAATTCAATGATAATAATAGTAATAATAATAATAATAATAATGACGATATAACTCAACCCTCTACATATATATGTAATAGGTTATGAGTCATACTTATTGTGGCGGCTAATGATATTACCCGGTTGCTGAAACTGAAGCACATGTTGAGCACAATCTAAATCCCAGATAAACTCCTTGAAAGTGGAGTACATAAGACAAGGAATTACATTCCATAAGCGGTGTTGTAAACTGAGATACCATGCTGTTTTGATATGACCGTCGAATAGGCCAAGTGGTTGCCACTCGCAGCTACCCTTGATTCATAATTTAAGCTGAAGATAAACAGACTACAAGTTTACTCACCGTTGAGATAACCAACAAAGACTAAATCTATGTAACATACATAGTGTCTAGCATGCCATTTATGGAATAGCCAGTGATACGACATTATTATTATCAAACTGATTTTCGTACTCATAAAGCATAGATTAGATTATATACATTTAAACAACAGTAGAAAAATGATTAGTTTTGGTGTAGCCAGTTTGTATATTAGTACAGTGATTGGCATGGCTCCGGAAACAGTTAGAAATAAGTTCAATAATCACCCTGAGCTTACTCTACGAACCAGTAGAGGAGATCATATCAAGTGTACAGCTACGCCTAACTTCTACATTCTTTAAGTTTCAGCACAAAATATGCAAACAAACAGGAGTTGCCAAGAGATCATCAACATCTACTATAGTGGCAGACATTTTTAGGAACAGTTGGGAGCAGATGGTCGTCGAAACGCTTAATCCTGCTCCAAAAGTATACTTTCAATATGTAGATGATACGTTTAGTGTTGAAATTGGAGCACAGAATCAGATACCTTACTCATCAATAACTACCCTAAGTTAACCAATAAATTCCTTAGGAATCGTTAAAAAAATGTGACTAATATGAGTAACAGGTGATAATAGTAATGGTAGTAATAATAATAGTAGCAATACTATGAAGACAATCAAGAACCTCTACAGTATTACCATACAAAGGTATCACAGAGACATTATGTAGGATTCTCAATAAGGCTGTGATTATAGTGGAATTTAAATCTAAATATTTACTTAGAAATAAGCTTTATAGGTTAAGAGGTCCTATTGATCCAACTAGGCAGAATAATGTAGGTTAAAAAATCCCTTGCAACGATAGCAAGCTCAAATGCATGAGCCAGAGTATTCAACCAAGGTCAACCAGGCTATCCGAGAAGAAATCTAGATAAATTAAAACCAGTTGATCTTGGAAAGACAAGGAATCTAGAAAATAGCTCAGCCGTAGGTACGCATGCATTTACACACAACCACACATTAAGATGGGACAGAGTGACAGATCCTAGAAAGATTGGTGAGTGGAGGGAGAAACTGATAACCGAATCTTTGTTTATCGAGTCAACACCGAATACATACAACGGGAATGACTTAGTACCTGTTCCGGATATAAGGATTATTCTATTATCTATATCACAAAGGAGGCGAGGAAATTGGAACTATGTAAACCACTTCTCAAAGCTATGGATTCACTTTGACATGACTGTGAAAGATAAATTAAGTCCGAAACGTAATCCAGTAAATAACACCGTTCCACTGTGTGGTGCTTCTAATAAGTCAAGTGAAATGTTACGTTAGCTTCTCTCATTACAATCCAGTTGTTGGCTGCTTCTAAAAGACTCGAAGAAGTTGAATCGTAGGAAAATTCGCCAAACCTGTTGCTGAAACGGAATTATGACGGTTATTTGAAGTGTTCGGAAAACAGCTTTATCCTGATCATAAAATTACTCAACCTAAATGTTCCAAAGTCAGCGGACATAGATTTGTACACTACACTCTGAGTCACAAATCACTTCGGTATATGTAACTGTAAGGTTTTGAATGCTCCTACTGATTGGTAACTACTTCAAAAATAAGTCCAAAAAAACTATGTGGGAGAGTAGATTGGCACTACACAATACTAACATACTTGCAATTTAGCGTTATGACAAATGATCTGAGATACTGCACCTCGAACATTTTCTGGCAGAGGTAGACAACTGATAGCACCTAGGAAAACACCAAAAGACTCTTCCACACGGTTGATGATAGAAGATAAAAGTCGACTATCTCCAACAAGAAGTCTGCGCAGATCCAAATTGGCATGCCTTGTGAATTGCTTCTCCAGTCTCTGTAGAGTTAGAGAGCTTATTATCTGGAATTCAGGTAACAAAATGTAGCAACAAAAACAAAATGCAAGTATTAACTTTATTCACGGAAATGCAACAATCCTAAGTGGTAAGTAGCTATATCATATACCTTCTGGAGTAGGTTCTACGCTAAGAATTCTGTTAGTTACCCTCCCATGGCTTCAATCCACTGTAGAATACCTTATTTCAATAAAAACAACTGGAAGACTTTGACCATTATTCAATGCGTCACAGTTGCTTCACAAGATGTCATTATTCCCTGAGCAATACCAACAAATTAATAGCAACAGTAATGTGGCTACTTAGTAACCAGATATCTTGGACTATAAGTTACGCATGATGATGCTACTAGACAGTTTAAAACTGAGATGCATTAGAGCCCACGACACCATAAGAAAGTCAAGTGTCTAGACTATTGAGTCACAAATCTTGTTAGGCGAAGATGTTGACAAGATGCGAAGTCCTTCAGATATCTTGATAGAAAATTTGAGTACGTTTAAAATTCGTTTTCCACTGCTTAGACGCAAATGGTTGCTCTAGGGCTGGTCTGTATTATTGTCTCTCCTAACAATAGGCAGCGAGGTGACTGAATGCACTGACTACTCACTTACTTGGGATGTTGGGCCAGCCCTAGTGGGTCACGCGGACCTCAACCGGCAAGTCTGGATATCCCTACACAGTTCGGACCAACAGTCAAGGAATTCATGCAATGATTCCATGTCTTAGTCTGACCGCCCCGAGCTTATTTCCAGCCTAAACATACTTCACTTAACATTGCGCGACGAGGCAGACGGTGACTAGGCATGCATAACACATATCCCAGTCATCTCAGTCGATGGAGGGTCACAACCGTGTCAACTGACCATTCTCTCTTCTCTAAAATGTTACACCCGATTTTTGCGTTACGTCGTGACACCACGATACACGGCCAATGTTACGAAGGTAACGGTGGTTGAACATCTGAAGCCTACCTTTAGCGGCCATGTTTCACAGTTATACAGCAGAACAGAGCGAACTGCACCACAGAACATGTGACCCTTAATAGGGTACCGAAGGTCGTTCAGGCAATCTCTGACTATTGGTTTGAGTTGTATCGACGAGTAAAAACTCCCCAGTTGAGGTCTACGTGACAACCGAAATAGGTGATTGCAGACCAGGTGATGTAGCCCGGAATCGACTGCAATGGAGCTAATACATCCACACATCATTTCATCTTCAACATTATAGTACATTTTATAGTACCTCCTTTCCTCTTCGTCCATAATCCTAAAGACTTCTAATTGCTTTTTTCCCCCTATTTCTCTGGCTTTTATGGTGATGTTTTCTACTCTGATGCGCCGATGTTAAGTGTGACAACTTGAAGCATTATACATCGATACCATGCCCCAAGTTGGTAGTGATTGACTGAAGTCCAGAAACAATTGCATATACTTGGGTTTATCTCGCATAACATAGATGGCGAGACCCATGGAGGAATTCCAAAAGAGAACAAAAATAATTTTCAAACATCTCCGATTTTTGATGGTACGTCAGAAAACGTTGATTCCCAATATATGATAACTCTTAGTCCCTTTAACCCAGTGACATATATGACATTTAATATTTCTAGTTTCCACACTAACTTAGGACTAGGCATTAAATAAAACCAGCTTATATTATTCAGCACCACTTTAAGCACCTGTAATAAACGTTTTGCGTTAAAGTATGCAAACATAAAAGTGGTCATCTGTTTTCATTTCTAAAGTATAGGCCGCTGGTGTGAAACAACGCTCATCTTTCCGAACTTAATTTGACAAGTACTCGCAGAATACTTAATTTTTCTGTACAATTTCAATGATACTTATGAAGGTAATTCAACGCAAAATCTATATAAAAATGATAAAACATACCTGATCATAAACATAGTTCAAACAGTTTAACAGATGGGAGGTAGGTTCATAAATTGGACTGAATGCTACCAGAATAAGATGTGAACGGGAAATGAACAAAAACTTTTTTTCAGATGTATTGATCACCTGCAACTCATCACCAGAATTTTCAACGAAAGAAACGAGTGCCTGCATAACACTCATTACAGATGATAAACAAGCCTCATTTCCATATCTGTGAAAAGTAACTCCCCTTAGTCTTACATACCTTGAATAAATAGGTTTCCCAGCTTTGCTGAGTACAAAGATATGAAGAACGTTATCTGTCCAACAGGGAACATCTGAAGTAGAAGCAATGGCTATCTCCTCAGAGGATGGTCTGCGACTTTTATCTTCAGGGATGTTATCATTAACTAACTTATCGGATGTTTCTGCTAAAACAGCAACATTCTGCAATGTAATGGTCAACCAAAAACGTGGCTACTTTATGTTGTTCCTCCAGAGATTCAGATTCTTCTATTATTCGTGCAACTGCTCCAGTGTTGCAATGTTTTAGAATCCTCGTATCAATAAGTGGTTCCGCATCAGACTGTGTATTACAAGCGACGTCTCTCTCAACTTTATAGGAGCAACTTTCCTCATCCATATGTATTGAACTACGTGCATAAATTTTAGTACAGATAACCAGTAAACATTTGAGAACAGTTCATGTAGAACTTGAGGATGAAAACTGCAATTGGAAAAATTGAAAACGATTAAAACGCCTAAGAGTTTGTTACGTAATAAATTCTCCTGTAGAATTTAATGGGACAAAAACAAGCTTTGCAGAGCATGGATTCATTGTATTTTTTCGCTTTAGTTTCTACTGCACACAAGTCAAAGAGAAAAAAGAATGATTAGTAAGAGATTCGAATGGAGTGACTTACTAAGAGCGAAGCAGATGTAGTGCAGAAGACGAGAAAGAAAACAAAACACGGAGTCCAAATGACAGAACTTGAATAAGATTGAAAGTACTTCGATAGTTAAAAAGTACTACTCGTAATTAACAAAGGTTGAGAGGAAATTTAAAAGGAACAAACTCAAACAACTACGAGGGATAAAAGTGAAACTTTGTCAAAATCTAGCATAATAATAAAAAGGGAATTAAGGTGTGCAGTTGTTTTAGGACCAATCTAATAAAAAAATTGATAATCATAAACTAACTACGAAAGTAACTACGCAATAACTATACAATCGTGATAATTTTTTTAAATGATAAAAGGGGAACTCACGTATTGTTTACTTTATCTACTAGATTGAGTCAAGCAAACCACGTGAACGACCAGTGATATTGTCTTTTCAAAAGTGAGTAGGAATAGACAGTTCAGCCAACTTAAGCGTGTAAAGTAGTCAGCTAGTTTCAAATTTTACTAGATGTAGAAACGTGCCTAAATACTTAATATCACAGCGGGTTTTTCGAAAACGGGGTGACTTTTCACATTTTGTTAGATTCTTGGCAATTTTTTGTGTTTACATATCACAGACTGATGTATTTTTGCCCTAATCGAAATATTCTTCGATCAAAATGAATTCTTAATTGTTAACTGCTTGGTTTGAGGAAAATGTTTGTTTGTTTTTCAGTGCAAGCAGTTTTTACAGACACATTTTGTAAAGGATCCTTAGAGCTTTTCATTTTTAAACTCATGTGTCACCTGTCTTATCAAGTTTTTCTCTAGTTTCTCAGATGGGTGAACGAAAAGTGCCGTAAAAATGCATATGGCAGGGTGTCGCTTCGCAGTGGACTCTGTTATGCAGCGTTCCAAACTTGAGAGTTAGTTCTACGATAACTGCAAAAGCCGTACGCCCTTGGCAGATAAGAAGTACAGTAATGCATGAACTGTCTGGGTTTGCATGCCGTGCAGCTCGGATAATCGCAGGCTAGTTGAATAGGCGAAAAATTTTAAACAGAATAATGAAGCTGGTGACCAACCGAAAGCCGGTAACTGTGATAACAAAAATAACAGCATCCAATGACAAAACTGACTCCTTGACAAGAAGACTGGACAAATACAAACATCTACGGTAAAAAGATCAATACACGACTTAATTCCATCCGACAGTAAACAACTTCGGCATTGCTTGAAAGTTACCGGCTAAAAAAACATTCAAAAACATAACACTACACCAACAATGCATCTGCGTTCCCGAAACTGTACATACCCATTTCACAAAAGTCCAAGATAAACAAATAACACCGGTAATTTGCCCAAAATTACAAAAGCCACAGAAACCTTTTATCCGAAAATACCAAACCTTCTACCTAAAGATCCCAAAGTCCTCCAAAACCTTTTACTGGAAATTTGTCGAAGTATGCTCAAATTGTTGCCAAAAAATTACAATTTTCCGAAATTTCACCCCAAAATCCTGCTTGTTTTCAATTTCACCACTAAACATCAATTACAAACGTCAAGAATCTCACAATGTCTCAAACACTTAAGACTACCGTTATAACAGTTCTTTGGAAAATAACCATCGACCTGCATGCAGTCTACATCCACGCAAAGTACGTAATTAGGTTATTGTTCAAATGATAAATAATGTTAAAAACTGCAGATGTACGCAATGAAACAATTTATTGTAAAAAACTGGAGTTATTGGTACATCTCCATCGTTAATTTCCTGAGTACTGATTACACGTTAGTCTGTGTTCTCCGTATTCTCTGATGAAGACAGTACCTGCGTGCTTTAAGCGTACCCCAATGTACAGGCATGCATATCCACATCCAGTAACGAAAAAGTTCAGTTGCTTTCGAACGTAAACATACTAGCAACTCACGGTGAGGCCTTTCTTCTTTCAGCCGAAGCCGATCACAACTGTCGTGAAACCATTTCTGGATGCTGGAAAAAAATATCTCAGTAGTGACCTCTTCGTCAACACTGCTGTGTCTGTGGTAGTTGTAGATGACAGTTGCGAAACGGACAGAAACTGAAATCCAACTTATTATGGCGTTTGCAAGCATTAGCTTTTCAAATGGTCTTTTCATAGCAGTTGATGACTATGAAAGAAGCCTGCTGTAATTTGGGGCGAGCATAAGGTTCATTATTCGTCTAACTGGCACTCCTATGTCCAAATCAACCAAGAGTGCCAACTCACAAGCGACAGAGTCTCTTAACCCATGGTCGGTTAACTGCTTCTCAAGCTGTGCTAGCCTGGCATTTGTATTCAGCTGCCATCGATCAGATGACTTGATTTCCTCCGAGGCATCGCTGACGCCTGGATCCCTTTGAACAGTTATTACCTCTACAACCATGTTCATAGGGGTTGGTGAGACTTTCTCAGAATCACATCATGAGTGATCTTAGGTTACCCAGGGAGTCGGAGGAGAGTTTTTCGGTCTACAGCTTCACTGTGCTTGCTAGATATGGTAATCTCCTTATAGCGTGGACTTACACAAATTTGGATAATCTTGAAGTGGTTCAGGAAGCCTTCCCAAAGATCAAGAGCTAGTACCAAAGTCATTTACAGTCATTATCAACTGAAGATACTGACCCAGCCAGTTTGCAGCGGGTGAATCGGTTAGTTGCATGATGTCTTTTTGAGTGTTTAGTAAGAATGCTGGAAAACAAAAAGTATCGGAGGATAGTACATCTACGGACTGTCCGTCTCGAATACTAGAGGATCCCAACTTCCAGTTCAGTACGCCAACATTCTGAAAACCTGTCCTTGTTTCACGCCTTATGAGGTAACATCCGCACAACAGTTGTCATTTTGTAGTAATTCATCGTCCACGGATTCGTCGATGAGTTTCTCATAGTCACCCCGGTTACCATACCAGTTGAAGCAAGTGCCTCGGATAGTACACCATCCATGAAGGGTAAGTCGTAACGTATTGGTATTTGCCTTTTAGCATTAACTGATGCACGCCTGACGAAAAAGGAGGGTAAGCAGTAACGCGTAGTAAAGTAATTCACTTTCTGAATTAGTTGAAGAAAATAGAATCCAAATGGAGGGTAAGTCATAACATCTTGTAAAACATTGTCTCTTAGCAAGTCTGACGAAACTAGAGGGAACTATGAACATGGTTGTAGAGGTAATAACTGTTCAAAGGGATCCAGGCGTCAGCGATGCCTCGGAGGAAATCAAGTCATCTGATCGATGGCAGCTGAATACAAATGCCAGGCTAGCACAGCTTGAGAAGCAGTTAACCGACCATGGGTTAAGAGACTCTGTCGCTTGTGAGTTGGCACTCTTGGTTGATTTGGACATAGGAGTGCCAGTTAGACGAATAATGAACCTTATGCTCGCCCCAAATTACAGCAGGCTTCTTTCATAGTCATCAACTGCTATGAAAAGACCATTTGAAAAGCTAATGCTTGCAAACGCCATAATAAGTTGGATTTCAGTTTCTGTCCGTTTCGCAACTGTCATCTACAACTACCACAGACACAGCAGTGTTGACGAAGAGGTCACTACTGAGATATTTTTTTCCAGCATCCAGAAATGGTTTCACGACAGTTGTGATCGGCTTCGGCTGAAAGAAGAAAGGCCTCACCGTGAGTTGCTAGTATGTTTACGTTCGAAAGCAACTGAACTTTTTTCGTTACTGGATGTGGATATGCATGCCTGTACATTGGGGTACGCTTAAAGCACGCAGGTACTGTCTTCATCAGAGATACGGAGAACACAGACTAACGTGTAATCAGTACTCAGGAAATTAACGATGGAGATGTACCAATAACTCCAGTTTTTTACAATAAATTGTTTCATTGCGTACATCTGCAGTTTTTAACATTATTTATATTTGAACAATAACCTAATTACGTACTTTGCGTGGATGTAGACTGCATGCAGGTCGATGGTTATTTTCCAAAGAACTGTTATAACGGTAGTCTTAAGTGTTTGAGACATTGTGAGATTCTTGACGTTTGTAATTGATGTTTAGTGGTGAAATTGAAAACAAGCAGGATTTTGGGGTGAAATTTCGGAAAATTGTAATTTTTTGGCAACAATTGAGCATACTTCGACAAATTTCCAGTAAAGGTTTTGGAGGACTTTGGGATCTTTAGGTAGAAGGTTTGGTATTTTCGGGTGAAATGTTCCGGGGGATCTTATGGTTGTTGACTATAGCTTCGGCGCGTGTTGCAAATTCGGGATTGTGTGGTAAAATGTTCAGGTTGGACTTGTAAACCTTGGTCTGACATTTGTTTGGGACTTGACAATTCTGGGACTTTATGGGAATATTATTTACACTTTCGGGAACGATGATGCATTGGCGGTAATGACCCGGAAGTTTTTTAGGTTAATATTAGACAAAATAGGTGTTCCCAGTGTTTCACAACTTAAAATAGGGCAAGAGATCGGTCATTAGTCACGTGCGAAGCTACTTCTATTGCAGGAAGCAGGAGACTAATAAGCATCTGCCAAATGTTTTTCAATATTTAGGCTTGCAAAATTACGTAATTTGAGGGAGGTACTGAAATGAGGATATTAGATATAAGCATGTAACGTTTATGTTCTCGAGCTATCTTACTTAATGATGCTTTTCAATTTACGTTGAAATGGCAAACACATGAGTAACTCTCCTTTCGCTTAAGTCACACTTTCTAAGGGTTACGCAACATTCAAATTCAGCGCTGATCTAGGGACCGCTTGTCTGTAGGTTTCATGTGATTCATGTGCTTGGGATATTGTATATGCGTGTATTTTTCTACTGCATTTATCTGATCGTTAGTTTTTATTTATTATTTGCCTTCTATATTTAGGGCATATTTCTGCCACTATTATTCTTGTCGTTCAGTAGGATGAGTATGATGCATTCATTTACTTGACATATCGTCTAACTTATGAAAGCTAGATTTTTGAATGTTATTAGCCAATAGCTGATATCTAACACCAGCGACAATATTTGAAACTAATGAATGCACTCAAAAATGCCTGTTGGTACACACTAACGGAAAAATGTATTTTAGGTATGTCTCGCTGACTATATTATTATTATTATTGTTATTTGTCCCTTGAGTTCCTAGTGGAACATAGGGCTTCAGTAGCACGCCTTCATTCCACTCTGTTCTCTGCGGCCTTTTGAACCTCGCTCCATGACTGCCCGGAAGGTTTCATCTCTTCCTCACACCATCCCCTAACCCTCGAACGCCCAACTCGTCATTTCCCCTTTGGATTTGACTCGACGGCCTGTGCTGGCGCGTGATATCTCCGGATGGCTTTCTCAGTGTATGCCCAATCCAGTTCATCTCCACTTTCTTCTGCATATTTGTTCAGCGATAGTTTCTTGGTTGGTTTGTCACCAGCCTGAGTTCCTTGTTGCTTATTCTTATTATTCTGGCCATCTGATCTTCAGTATCGAGCGTGGGTGGCAACTGTTGATGAATATCTGTAGTTTGTTGGAAGAGCTTTTCGTGAAGTGCCAAGTTTGTGAACCATATAGCAGCACTGATGTGACACTGGTGTTGAAAATCCAGATGTTGTTCACGCTTTGTGCTGAGTGCAGTAGATCTCCACACTGATTATTTCAGATTAGTGAAAGCCTGTCTTGCTTTTCCGATCCTGGTTTTGACATCCTCTCCTGTGCCGCCTGTAGTTGAAACGATGCTGCCCAGCCTAGGTAGGTGAAAGAGACTACTTCCTTTAGGTTTCTCCCGTTGGTGGTGCTTGATGCTCCAGAGCGCCTTTTAGATTCTCCAGGATGAAGCTGCGTAATATTTTGCTTGGGGTGGGCAGGGATAGGAGCATGATTCCGCGCCGGTTGCTACAAAGGCTTCGGTCTCCCTCTTTGGAAGTTTAACAAGGTAGCCCTTCTTCCAATCAATCAGCAGGTAGCTTTCTTCCTTGCCAACGCCTTCTGCAGTAGTGGTGTGAGCATGTCGGCTGTTGTCCCTGCGTCTGTTTTCAGTCCTTCTGGAGGAACTCCATCTGGTAGTTCTGCTTTCCCGAATTTCAGTGACTTTATGGCGTTCACGATCCACTTCTGCTTTTGTCAGTGGGCTTGCGTTCACTGGTAATTCTGTGACTGGGCTGCTGTTGGTATTTCTGGACGTGTTTAAGGTGGTGGTCGATTCAATAGTCTTTTGAAGTGGTCAGACCACCGTTTCCTTTGTTTCTCCTGTCTGGTGGTGACTAGGTCTCCTCCACTATCTTTCATTGGTTTTGTCTGCGTTGATCTCTCCCCAGGCAGTGACCTGCTTGTTTGGCACAATGCTGTCGGGTTTCTCCTACCAGTAGCCTGTTCTGCTTCACTTGCTGATGTGTCGTAGAAGTGTCTTTTGTCCAAGTCGGGATAGCGTGCTTTATTATCTCTTTTATGTTTTTGGATTTCTGCACGGGTGCATATTCTGTATATCATGTTAATAAGCATTGGGGGAGTTTCGTTTATGAATAATTGGCGCTGTTGTTGTGACATTCGAATTCAGTGCAGATTTCAGCACCCAGTTTTGTTTTCAGTATAAGCTGAGTAAGCGTGCAAAAGAACACCTGCTGAAGGTCTCAAAGGAGTAAAACTGGTGTGATGGGTGTTATGCTTCCTTAGCCAGGAAATGCACCGTCGCTACAATCCATTAGAAACTTATGGGCTCATTCCAAATCACTTAATGCAGGCCACTCGCCTTGACGATTGAAAGAGCATTCGATAATTTGAAGAACATTTCACCACACATTCTCTTCTGAATTTGAAAAAGTGCAATTTTTTCATCAACATTTTGCTTTGAGAAAGGTGGATTCCGTACAAGGTAGATAAGTAGAATAATTACATAGGGGTAACTCAGAACTTCAGCATAAGGCCAGGAAATAACTAACCGAAGTTTGGGCCCATACAGGGCATTCCCTTTCGTATTTGTTGACGTCTATAACACTGATCCCGTAACTTATCTCTTGTACAGCTGCGCTGATATGGATCATTCTATCCTCTCCTGCTGGTTTCAGACTCCTTATTTTATCCATAATTTGAACAATCTGAGGATATATGTAGCGTGCAGTTTCCTCTTTTATTTAGTGAATACAGACGTCACAGGTCCATCTCCATCAATACCATTGATTACTAGTTGAAACGGCGTAAACCCACCATCATTACCATCCTTATTCTCTAATTACACTTGGTCGATGTGTACATTGGATAAACCGCGAGATCTTTTCAAAAGACGGGAAATCGATAACATTTAGATATGAGGACTAATGTCCATTAAAAGTAACAGACCGGTAGTAGATAGTGACTTAACCCTTGCCATATTTAATTCGTTGTTTCCCTTGCATGTCATCTGTCTTCAGGAATATACTATCAGACACTACTGCACGCTTATCAGACTATAAACGGTTTTGAATATTCATGGAGTCCCGACCAAATGAACTTCTGAACTTCGTACAGAAGTGGTACCACCTGTTTCATATTCACTATCATCTGGTGCACGCACACACGCATCCGGCATTCCCTTTCTATCAGTTTTCTGAGGCTAATTTGCATTCGTGAAGTCACAGCTGCGCTTGCGAGTGTGAGTGAGGTGGCTGTATAAAACTGCATTGCTTCCATCCTCAAATGTGATGATAAATTTGGCTTCACATACCACAGACCTGAGAGTATAGGCTTAAGTTTTTCATATCACTGTGCCTAACTTACCAGGTTTTCCTACGCCCTGAAAAACCAGCACTCCATGATTTTCAAAGCATACAGAGGTTAATACTCCACAACATAACAAGTTGTGTGCCACCCACACACCTGCAGAATTAAACCTTGGCGAAGGCCTGCTGGAAATTCATAACCATTTTCAATGTATTCATATACATCCTTGGATTTACATGCAAACGCCGCTTTTGCAGGTATCAATAAGTTTATGAATAGATTACGTATTGCTTTAGGGTAAGCAGTTTAAATTGCTGAATTGTCTGTATTGAACGTCAAAAAAGCGTAGGATACCAAAAAATAGGCATGCATAGATTGACACTGTAGAACATGATTCGTTCCTCCCCATCGTACTTTGCCACAAAAAATGGAGCGACAATATTTGACACCCAGCAGCTTCAGCATAAGTTAGCTCCTATAAGAACCAAATTTGATTTATAGCCAGGACGATTTTCAAGGCCGAATGGTTTACCTGTAAGGGGAAAGAAAGATAAAGCAGCAGGTAGAGAAAAGAAGACAGAAGTTCGACAAGGAGTAGGCTTTTTATATACATATTTCTCAGCACCTTAACTTTCCACGTCGTGCCATGTGGTGCATGTGGTTTGTCTGTTAGACGTTTAAGAATTCATTTCTCATATTTTGCTAGTCCAAGACCAGGGTCTTTCTGTTACTGCGGGAAGATTCAGCTGTATATCGTTAAGTAGGGAGTACTAACTATCAGAAAGTTTCCTAAGGGCCTCGAATGGGAGTTCAAAGCAGATGTAGAAGAAGTCTCATTCAGACTTTAAGACGGTTCGTTGTATGAAGTATCAAATAGGATAGTGATGGCGTATTTAGTAAGCCAGATAAGTTGTTAGATGATTAGTATTTATTTAGCAACCTACTAAACTCGGAGGTTGGTTTGGAGTTTTTCACCTCAGCAGGAAGTCTGTCACAAATCTGAGAATATCTTAAGATGAGGGAATTCGGACACAAGCAGGACTTAAACGAGTTCATGTGGCTCTGCGGGCATGGTTTTGCGGGTCGTAACAGCCACGGCTGTGTGATGTAAATCTCTCGATTCATTTTTTCTGATTGTGTTGGGTTCGTATTAGGGTCATGATGTAGACAGGTGAAACCGGGATCTATAGCTGAAACATTCAGTAGGGGAAAAGGCGGGTAAACTTTAGAATAGGAGCAATGGCAGAAGAACGAATGTGACTCAGGATGAGTAGCAGTAAGTGGTGTTCCTCAGGATAGCATTCCTAAATACTACCCTTCCGTCTATAAGTTGTTGAAATCTACGGATACAGGGATCACTACTGTAACCGGTGACATGAAGAAGTGGCGAATTATCTATGAAGATGATAGTAAGTTTCCAATCTTAAATGAAGTTGATTAACTTCCTGGATGGTCGCAGTGGCGTTACATGGAAGCTGATTCTAACAAAAGTGGGGCGGATCTCACTGGGAGCGACCTTTCTAGAGAATATCCGACGAATGGTCAACTAGTGGATTGGGTCTTGGAACAAAAGCCTAGGAGTCACTGCAGGTCACGAGTTGAAGGGTACTCGGGATTAAACTGCTTCTGAAGCCGAAGACTTTGGCATGCGTCAGTCACCTCGTAGAGTGTCCAAGTGCTTTGATGAAAACAAGTTTATGATTCTAACTTTAAGGCCTTACCCTGAGTATCGCATCTAAGCTGCTAGTCCATGATTCATGAAGGAGGCAAATGTATCGGAACAGGTTCAAAGGCTCGCCACTAAACAGGTGTTACCCACCTTCATGTGAAAGGTGATTGGTGGGGCTAAAAGTCTTTCCCTTATGTCACTGAGGAGAAGTGAGTGATTTGATTCTAGCCTTTCGCATTTGTGTAGCTTCTTCATGCAGTCGACAGCTGTTCACCCCAGAGGATATTGGAAAAAAATGTCCGGGGGCTGCAGTCGTATTATATTCGAGTAAAGAGGGGATCCATCAGTTGAGACCGTTACCCCATGATGCCGAACTTTGGAGATTGATAGCAGCATAAATGGGACCAGAAAGGTAGACCACAAAGACCTACCCAGCCGCCGAGAATCCGTACATTAGGTCCCAGGCCATGTGCTTCCACCCCAAAGCGTCACTCACATAGGCATGGTACTACATGAAAGACCAAGTAGGAGATGCCATGCGATGTTCTGAAAGCGACTGGTGCCCCACTACACGAGAAGATAGAAGCCGATCTTCGGGAGCACCACAGGCAGTGTTAGTCACGAAAGAGCAATCCGGTGAACTGATCCCAGAGGACATCGTGATAATCCTTTCGTGACACCAACGCTGGGAACCCAGAATAAACTAGGAAACGTATGCTTGACAGCCCGGTAGGGACTGATAAATGGTATTCAGCACAAAGCCACCGCGAACTTCATACAAGTCACCGTGCTGCACTAAGCCTAAGAAGTAGCTTTTTGACATGGTCACACAGAAAACGTCTATACCTTACGTGACTGTTCCAGAATGATAGGTTGTTTGTTGATGGAGGGGAATGGTCATGTATGTGAGCATAAACTGAAAATCCGAGAAGGAGACTTAAAATGTTTCCAACCAACTGGTAGACTCCACATGGTGCTATTTAATGGATGACTATACGAACTGCCTGCTAGGAGAGGTGTACGGATTTCTCCTGCGAGCAGCAGGGCATGAGGAACAGATGCTCACTGTGATTTCGGCGTCCATTTTGGATTGTGGCGACGTAGTCATTGCTGGAGACCTCAACCACTGGCACTTAGCAGGAGACTGCGTGTGAGCTGCTGACACAAATCTTTCTAACGGAGACTTCAGAATACCTTTGTGAGAGTGGGACTGACAGAGAAAGCTGGAGAGAATATCCGATGGGCACCAGGCACAAAAGCACCATAATTTTATTAAATTCTAGCAAACGACAATCCTTCGGCGAACGTTAACTGTGTCCAGTTCCTCTAATACAAAGCAACCGTGCATTGGTCATATTTATTTTGATAACCGGGGGAAAAACTGTAGGCAGTCTAACCAGGAGCGTTTCACTGTCACAGGATACCAGCTTATGAAGAACTGATTCCTGAATGCACAATGGCCACGAGAATGTCACTCTCTATCGATAGACGAACATCGAAAGCATACAGAAGATAATAGACGGGGCGTCATCAAAAAGGATGCCTCCAAGGTAAACGGGTAACTGCCTTCAGACGCCCCAGGGTCACTCGAGCAGCTCGAAAGCAAATACAGGGGAACTAGAGGACGGAGTAAGATTGGAGTACGTCATATAAGGAAACAGACTGTCTCAGCTACAAGAAGTTGCGCAACCTATGCAGTATTGGCGGTGACAAGAACGGGCTCAGAAACTAGAGCATATTGGTTAGGCAGTTGCGATGCGACACATATGACATACATCGTTTTATGTCACAAAGAGAAGTGAAGAACAGCGGTCTAAAACTTATCACAGAACCGAACTGAGAAGCGTTGAGTAGCGTTGCGATGATGGTACTACCGGGCAACTGATTTGATGGGCGGCTCAACACGGTAATGCATCTATCGCCGACATCCAGTAATATTAAAAGGGTTCTAGGACTATGATACGGAGTTGATGAATACAAGGATCTAGTGGAAACAAGTAATTATGGAACTTTCATCACTCAGAATAGGAAAATCTGTAGGGTCTGATGAAATGAGCCCGGAGGCCCTAAAGAATTGCACTGAAGTGCAAAGCATGCCCATATGCAATCTGTTCATGCACTCGTTGGGAGTAGGTCAACTCCCCAAAGAATGAAAGCTCACAGTCCCTCCACCAATTTTCAAAGGGAAAGACAGAGAAAGTTCATGAAATTACAGAGAATAAACGTTACCTCCAATACTTTCCAAGGTGCAGGAAGGTCTGGTCACAGATGTTATTTAGGGCTACGCAAATGAAAACAATATCATTTATCCCAATGAACACGGCTTCCGAACCGAGAGGTCATATGCTACAGGCTTGACGACCACTTAGGATGATTGGATGAATGGATAAGACAACAAGCAAACAATCTGAGCCACTTTCCTGGACCTGGCAAACGCCTTCGATAGCTTCTAGCACTACACTGCCCTCATTAAACTTGCAAAACTGGACACCAGTGAACCCCTAGTAACTTGGTTCAGAGCATACGCAGAGGACAAGGAATTCTCCAGCAGTGAAAACAAAATTCTATCTGCCAAGAGGAGCACCAGAAGAGGATGTTCTCAAGGAGCGGTCTTCAAGCCACCCCGTTCTTACAATACATGAGTGACCTACCTTTCCAAATCCTGTCGCATATCCTTCAATTGCTGATAACAGCCGGGTGTGGAGGACAGTGGGTGGGAAAGAGGGTCCTGGGATATACCACGACGTTCTACTACGATTGATGCCCTGTTCAGCGGAGGATAGTTTAGGTACGTATGTGCAAGGTGATGTATCTTCGCATGCTGGGAGCTGTTAAGAAGCCACAACCCCAACAGGTGTGCAATCACCAAAGTATCCTCTCGGGACCTAAGATTAAGCTTCTGTAACACGCTAGAAACTTGTGCCAATTACTACAGAACGCCAACGAAGGCGAACACCGTCATATACTAACTGAAAGGGTGGCTACGAGGCCTAGCCTCTGGACTATTCTCTGTGGTGGCTAGGACTTATGTTAGACCATACTTAGGTGTTTTAAACACGATAGTCCCTCTCCTACTAAAGCGAGATGCAGTCGCTCAAGAAGGTGCGGAGATAAGCGAAAAGACCAGTTATTGGACTAAGAGGTAAAAATTTGCAACACACCTTGGATAACCCAACTTGTTCACACTAAGCTGTTGAAGGAGAACGGATAACCTAATGGCAGCCCAGAGGACCATCCATCAGGTGGACCGCACCAAAAGGGTGACATTTTCGATCAAAAACCTAGCGTCTCGCAGGGACCCCACCCGCATGTCCCACCAGAAGAGGAAGATGAAGGTAGTATCTAACTTCCCACTCACAATTATGCATTGTGGAACGCTCTGTCGAAAGAAATGGCCACAGCTACTTCATTTGACTTCTTCAAGCGTCTGCTCGACAGTGTAGGTGAGCGCGGATGGCCATCCATCAACATACGCCGCTAGCAACTTAGGACTTGCCCATCCATCCCTATGTTACCGAACCATTGTATCTGGAATAAACTCGTTTCGTCTGCATATTGTTACTAGTAACGCTTATCTTACCAAAAGTGCTTTTAACTCCTCTTTTCTCATTGCCTACTCGCGCTATTTCTTGCACTGCTTTTAAATAACGCCTAGCACTTACTTGTAGATGCCTGCAAAATAGGAATTTCAAAAGGCCAGTTGATCTTATCAATAGCTTCACTGCTCCTCTAAACAAATAGACCTACGATTTGCAAAAGAAAAACCTTCAAATCGACAATTACTACCTTTCACACTATAAGTAGATGAACTGTAAAGCCTTCTGAGACCAGTGAAGGAGCATGACTGAAAAAAAGAACCGGGCCTCAAAACCGAGAAGCGAGGGCTGGAAAACTGCAAGTTTCCAAAACCCGCACTAATGATGTTGGATACTTGGCTGAAGACTGACGTACACCGTATCTGTGGTGGGCTTACAAACTCAAGGTCGTCCCCTGTGTTTACTTCAGATGGCAACTTCTATTATCAAGTTGCATACGCTTTCTGGAGCTGGTGATAATGGGACACCATGCTATTTGTTGCAAGTAAAGTTTCTCTGAGTGTTTTTTCGAATATTTAAGATAGATGAGTTTCACTGTCTTTTAGATTGTGGTTGGTGTGAAAAACTGGATAGCGCTTATGTGAGGGAAGTGTCTAAATGGCTAAACACATTGATGCTGTGCTTCTTAGTCATCAGAGTTTGAGGCACCTTGGGCTGCTTCCATATCTCGTAGGAACTTGTGGGCTTAACTGTCCAGTTTATGCGACAACTCCTGTATACAAAATGGGGCAGATGTTTTTATATGATTTCTATCAGTCAAGACATGCAACAGAAGACTTCAGTCACTTTACTTTGGATGATGTGGACTTAGCATTTGATCATGTGCATCAAGTCAAGTATCAGCAAACGATCAGTCTTCATGGTCGCGGCCATGGTGTTTGTATAACCCCGCTCCCTTCAGGTAAGCTATTACGATCCCAACAAACTTCGTTAAGGACATACTCTTGGTGGAACTATTTGGAAATTGGTGAAGGAAGATACAAGTGTTGTGTATGCTTTGGATTTTAATCACAAAAAGGAGAGACATTTGAATGGAGCAACTTTTGATGCGTGCATACGTCCTCATTTATTGATCATGGATGGTTCGAATACTTTATATACACAAGTAACTAGTTCTGTTGGTACTGATAAATTTTTAGCCTAGAAGAAAAGATCGTGATGAGAATCTGCGTCAAAGTATTCTGAAGAGTTTACGACGTGGTGGGAATGTACTTATTGCAGTTGATACTGCCGGGCGGTGTCTTGAGATCGCGCATTTTCTAGAGCAGTGTTGGCTGAACCAGGTTAGTTTTGATTCACTAGTGTACTAGCAACCCATTTAATGCAAACCGGTTTGCAGTTTTTCATTTCTTCCCGTGGTTTCTATCTGGTCAGAAGTTCTCTTTGTATTGGTATCGTGGTTATCGTAGTTAGCTTTTGTTTGGTACTCCCCTAAGCATAATATTTGGTCAAGGACTAAGCAGATGCGTATTGATCTTATTTCAGCCCACTAATCTAGTTGGTTGTCATGTAAATCAAGTCTAAGTGAGTGTCAGTGATAACTTTGGACAGTTGATCCAAAAATAATTAACTCTATTTCCACGATACAGTTGCAGTTAAACCAAATTCATTCTAACTTGTAAACACACCAGCTGTTAATCTCTCACAATGTTTTGCAGGTGTGTATACTGTGGTCTAGCCGTTGAGTACTTTACCACTATTCTGAAATGACAGCCTCTCAAACTAATATATACATACACTAAAAGACAACCCAGTGACTAAGATGTCTCTTGTATAGTGTGAGTGGCTCCATTGGTTTTAGTATTAGGGGTGGTAAGGCAAGTAGTTCGTATTAATTCTTACAGTAGGTATTCCTTGGTCTCTTTGCAAGCGCTCATCGAAGGAGCTACTACCATTTGTTCAGTTGAGTTCTATTCACTGATTATCTGGTGGAAAAGTTTGACTTCCACATAATTTATCTGACTATGGCTTTTGATTCCTTTTGTGATAATCCCTGGGACCCAGTTCCTGAAAATATAGTACAGAGAGAGATCAACATCCAAACCGTTATTAAAGATGCGACAAGCCAGTATGAGATCATCTCTTCACCAACGATATAATAGAGGGAAAAGGTCTAATCATTCTAACCCAACTCTGATACCTTCTCCATCTCTCTTGCTCTCACCAACCACTATTGCTTGCAATCGACGCGAAGACGCTTGGTCACCTTACGTCTGAGTTGCTTTTGCTGTTCACCGTGGTGAGAGGCAGCTAGAATCAGTCTTCTCACATCAATCAGTACGGACAGCGTTGCAGAAATTTAATGACGTTTGCTAGTCTTCGGGTTTAGGTTGCCAACTGTCTTTAGTGCTGTTTCTACAACAGACTAAATATGATGCCAGGTTTCCTCATGATGAGCATTTCTATCATGTTCAGATAAACGCTTAGCCAACCCCCCCCCCCAAATAAGTATTTGGCGTCCTCATCTTCGAATCAACCGTAGTCGGGCTTTACTATCGGCTGTTTCCTACCAGTAAGGCGTAGACATAGACGAGCCCTTACTAGGGTATAATCGGAGTCCAACTGGTCCTCCAGAAAGAGAGGCGATCCTCCACCGATCCTCTTAAACCATGTCTTCTAGCAATGTTGCCTATCTGTGTACATCGTTGGTTTGGAATTTACGGACGCCATGTGAGATAGTGTCTCCTTATGCTTGAAGTTAGTGCTGACCAAAAACAGTGATCGTCGGGACCAAATTACAGCGTTGTTGGTCTGTTGGCATTGGATTCCGTAAATATCCCCGAGGTGCCTTTCTTATTCACTCAGGTTCCCTACTTAAGCGTTAAGGTCACCTGCCAGTATGACTACATCTGAACGTTTTGCTTTCTGTAGGAAAATTGACAACTTCTCATGGAATCCATCCTTTGCATCATCTGAGCAATAAGGTTTTGATGGTCATGATCGTTGACGATGGTCACAGAATGGTAGATGGGGGAGGGTTTAACAAGCTTAATGTTAGTATCAGGAGGTAAATGCAAGAAGGAGACGGAGTTGAAGAAGATAGGTTATATTTGGTTGGGTCTTGAACAATACTGGAAGCAGGCGGGCGGGCGGGAGGTCAAGAGGGCGGTTAACACCTCCTGGCTACCCACACTGTTGTTGCAATCCTGCCCAGTCAGGCGGACAACTTTATCCCGAGACCCCTATCATAACGTAGCAATTTGGTCTATGTTGGTAACTGCTTTTTGTCTAACCACTGTCCAACGGACCTTTCTAGCATGGTGGGACCTCGAGGGAACGACCGTTCCACCAGCGTAGCTCGTTGGGTCATTGTGAAATGCAAACCCGATCACCACGTCAGGGTAGCAGCTATCATTTAGGATTCCACAATCTATCAGCCCAAAAATGTCGCATTAAATGGGAGCCGAAGCTGCATTAGTGGAGTGGATCTCCGTTAACAGTCATCCTTGTGCTGCTGGGTTAGAAGGTTCGATTAGAGCGAGAAGTAACTAGCAATGGAGACGATATCTGTTTGTCATGTCTATGTCCAACTGACAACCTAAATACAGTTGAGAATCAGTTCTGCCATCAGTTAAATGTCCTTCTGTTCCAACTGCGTCGCACTGCAAGTTGTTACAACTCATAGCAGTACATCAGAGGAGAATGCACTAAGATGGAAGATGCAGAAATAAAGAAGAAAGCCGTCAAAAGTGGTTTAAAATCATCACAAGAGAGCAGGGAAAATTGAGGGAATATTGAAATTCAGTATGACAGTGAACCTGAAGATAGTGTGTAGATAAATCTGTTACATTGATCCATTTTCAACCACACCACTAAGACCTCAACCACTGACTGCTCTTCACACCTGGACTTCAACTGGTAATCCCGCATTTAAAGACTGGAATCTGTGAGGAAGATCAACTTAAATAATTGTAGATTGAAATAAAAATAATGGTGGTTATAATAATAATCTTGCTTATTGAGAACGCAAAGGTTGCATGATAACAGAAAGGGGTTACGTTCGATTTAAAAAATCGTTTATAAGGTGAATTTAGATTATGAAAGGGTGAAAACATAGTAGAGTTAATAAACAATCAAAGGATTAAGTAATACCAATGAGATAAGATGAAAATGCTTTGTTAAAAGTAGCAATTATTGGAAAGATTAAATAAAGTAACACCGGTAGCTATTAAATATAAAAATAATACTGATAATGATGATAAAAGTACAAAGGTTGATGTAACAAAGGAAGTCGAAAAACGAAACATAACAAACCAGGTCAAAACTACGATCAAGGTAGAGGCAAAGAATTTACGAACTTCTCTTGCACACAAAAGTTAGGCTTCAGTTCATGAACAGCCAAGCCCTTTGCTGTTTTTAGAATATGAAGAAGAAAGTGTGAAGTATTTGGACGAATTCGGTAAACCACATTGTAATCATTGTTTGCGTCGATTGATTGGTTGAAATCGATCATACGTTCAAAGATAAGGACTTCTAAGGCATTTCCTTTCACCCCCAATACAAGCAGGCTGGAATATGCTGTCGTATACGTATTAACAACAATCTCTCCACAGGAGCAGATGAATTGTTAGATGCACATAAAGGTGGCCTTTTGTAGGATGTTGTCTTGTACACATACGGAGTCGATTTACCACTAATAAAGGTTATTATTATTATCACTTTGAATAGTTTTCGGTGTTACTTCACTTGGTCGTTTTGTTCCGTTCTTCCTTCTGCTTTTGTGTTTTTGAGCATTATTTTATTATTTCCCATGGTGCATCTTTAGTGCGTGTGATGTACTAAGTTTCTGTTCTCAGTTATATCCTTCATTACTTTTTCAATTCCTTGGCAGCTATACTAGTGAAACTTATGGGTAGTTGCCTATTAGTGTTCTTGAAAATGAAACAAACAATGGCATCTTTCCAGCTTTTAGACAACCAAACTTGAGACAGAAACGTGGTAAATATCTCCGTTAACATCTTGGCGACCATGATCGGCGACAGCAGTTTGAGGTGATGCCTATCGGGACCTGACGAATTACCGAAATTCCTGTTATATATATATATATATATATATATATATATATATATGCTGTTTTTCTGTTGGCCCAGGCTAGGCGCTATAAGGATGGTTGGGGGTCAACTAGAACAGTACTTAAGCACCTCACTTCTTTTAATTTCGCTTTACCTCTAAACCGTGCTTAGTTTTTATGAAATCATGCATTCAAGCTTCGTGCTTGTGCACATTACTCATGTTTTCTGCGTATTCACAATCAGTTTCACTTTAGTTTCTACATAAATTTATTCTTAGTTTACTGTATAACTTCGGACTTAGTTGTTTACGACTGCTTGATATTGCTACAAAAATCTTAGATGATTTTAGTACCAAAGTTCATCTTAGAATGATTTAGATAATACTGAATCGATTTTAAAGTCAGCTATTTCAAGGCATTGTTACCTGTTGCCTAACAACATCTAGAACTAATTATGACCTTCCTAATTCTCAAAATAAGATTTTTCCTTTTCTGTTGCCTCACGTTTGCTTATAACATGTCAAAAGTAGCTGTATTTATAAACGACATTATTATTCCGAATTCCGTAAATTGTATTTTGCCGACGTACCATAGATATTGATTATATTTTAGGAATCTGGTCTCATGGCCTACGGGTTGGCTATGTTAAATTATGTGGCTTTGAACGTTGTAGACTTTGCTAAGTCGATGGTTGAGTGGATGTCTGAAAAAGTAATGCGATCTTTTGAAGATCAAAGGAGCAATCCATTTCACTTCAGGCATATGCAACTGTGCCACACACTGGAACAACTAGATGCTGTTTCGGAACCAAAAGTGAGTCAATTTTTTGTATGACCTGTTAGGTTGTCCTGTCATCACTTTCAGATCTTAGCTGTGGATTTTCTCGGCAGTTATTCGCTGAATGGGCCGATAACGATTTAAATACAATAATTCTTACTTCTCGAGATTCTATCACTTCTGGAAGTGGTGAGTCTTCTGTTCAGAGTTTGATATCACGTCTTATCGGGTTGGCAAGAAAGGATCTAGACGCCCGAAAAGACCTGCCAACAAGTTCTACTGGGACTTTAATCCTTCCCTTGACATTGTCGCAAAGGGTATCATGTTCACAGGCAGAACGATCAAGACCTGATATCTCGCACTTGCGGAATTCTGCCAAAGTTTCCTCAATTATTCAGAGTACAGAATCAACAACTGGTGATATTCCTGATGAACTTACTTCCGAAACTGAATCTGCAAATGCAAACGTCAGTTTTACAGGTATGATTCTGAATATAGTTTTACTTTTGATATTGTCCTATGTAAAGAGTATTTTCGGTTTCTACTGTGATCAGTGGCGTTCTTTAAAATTGTCATAATCATTCTGATTTACTTTGATTATTTAACGCGTTGTTAATGTGTTGCCTATCTTTTGTAAAAGGTGTGAAACTGATGCTAACAACATTACCCCTTACGTGTTATTACTAGTGTCATCTGTGAGTTTGGAATCTTAGCACTTCAGTTACATAAGTCTTTTATTATTGAAGTAGAATGTTTTTCAGCTTAAGCAGATATATGCCTAGCACTTTTCTTTATGAATGGTATTTGTACTGTTCATGATTGGTCATGAAGTGCTAATTGAGGGAGTCCGTTAATTAAGATAAGCCGAATCAATGATAGCATTTACTGTCTGTGTACACCGTAAGCTGTTGTTTAGCTTACCAATTTTATGGCTTTATTTATTTATATACTTCTGTTTCTTAAACAGAGTTTTGACCTAGAAATCACATTTTGGTGTTAATATACCTGAGTTTATGCCCAAGGCCATAAGAGCATGCGAGGACTCATTCAGCATCCCTATTGGTTGTTCGTAACAGTCTTTTGGGCTGGCAAACTCTATTCCTCTGTTCATTAAGAAATCACTTTGCCGTTTACAAATTTGTGCCTACATGCTATCTTTGTAACAAAGTAAGAAGTGATGCGCCCAGAATGCTTCTCTTGTTGAAGGCCCTACATTTCTAAACCGTCAATGTATATTACATTTGTAAGGTATGAATACTCACCCGTAATCTAGTAATTTATTTTTACTTATTGGCCGGCATCTAAAGACATGACAATTAGTTCTGTTGGCATAACAGGAATTGCGATGGCAGGAATCATCGACTGAATATTACAGGAAGAATAGTGAAGGATCACGGTAAATTAGTGTATTTTTGTAATATTTACTTACCTTTTGACCTTAATCATCATGGAATCTGGAGTTACTGCGTTATTGTCCACGTTAACACTTTCTACACTAGCATATAAAGACAAGGTAGCAATGAAATAATGTAGCCATTAGTCGTATAAAGTTGCAGGAGGCATTGAAAAGGAGTTAAAACAATTAGGGAAATATAGTATAATGGCTAAGATGAAGGTAAGGTATGGATGAATCTGTGCCACTGCAACCGATTTGGAGTTTTCAACAATCCATTTCAGTTATCATACGGACCCAGACTAGGAAGTCTGCATTTCTCTTCGTGGCTCAGATCAAGAGTAGGGGAATTTGTGTTGATCTCGCTGTTTAGATTAGCAACCTTGAACCTTTTTCCTGCCTAACTGTACTTCAGCTGACATTACAAGTCGGACTAGTTTGTTAATAGGCATATGCAATACATGTAAAAGCCATTTCAGTTGATGAAGATTTATACCCTCATCACTTATTATCCTATGTCTAAGCTCTACTAACGTTGTGATTGTACAACATGTGGGCAATGGTGGTCAAACACCTAAAGCCCTTTTTATATCTTTAATGGTCATGTTTTACAGTCACGGAGTAGGACAGCCAACTGGGTCTTGGTACATTCGATCCTAAGTAAACAGTTGGATATTTCGCCGGTCCAATAAGTGTCGTAAGCTGACGAAAGCTTACCGAGCCTTTTATATCTGTACTGGGAATTTGTCAGTCTTTGACTCATCGGGTTGTATTCATTTCTAAGTGAATGACGAAGTCTTCAAGAATCAGCCTGCCGTAGAAAGAGCTAAGCATATCGATTTCGTATAAGTGAGTGACTTCAAGACACAAGTAAAAGGTGCAACACAGATAAGCAACTAGGTGAAAGTCTCAAAATTTCAACTTAGCTAACTAAAAATGGTTACGTTTCACCTCAACTGTGTTCACCACCAAGTTTATACACAAAGAAACGTTTTCTGACTCCACAGTCGTTGACCTCAACACACTGGAGAACACTAGTAGACCATATTGTTATTATAGTTGGGAAAAAAACTAGTAGGTTGCCACTCCTGTTAAAACGTGTCCTTGACCACCGTCTACACATTGATTTGAATATGTTTATGCCAGCACCTTCATTGACAAAAAGTTGACAGTGAAAAACAGAAAGCTAAAATAGAAGATATAGATATCACGCCTGTGTAAAGGCTAGTTTAACAGTTGATTGAACGTAATAATAATGCTCTTCCCTTCGAGGTCCGGTTCGATCTGCAGTCTGCCGTAAAAGCCAAGGATGGATACTGTAACTGATCATCAGATGCGGCTAACAGATATCGGCAGCTTTTTCTAAAATAGTGTAACCATGAGAATGCAATCTTACAGTTTAAATATAAACTGACAGACAGACCATGTCATGCGCGTGATCGGTTTTGGGTAGCAAAGGCTGAAGAGAAGAAGAATGCAGCAGCGAAGGGTAAGGGCAAGCAGCCGTCCACATTTCCTAGACAGAATGTAGAAAAAATCGGTGGTTAGCCAGTGTTTAATAAAGATAAGTCAGTGATCCACTTAGTTTATGATTGGAGTAATGCACAAGATACTGAGAAATAGTTCAGCTACCTTTCAGTTGTCTTTCATTTGCGTATTATCTCTTCTTCATTGTCTTGTCACATCCTAGTGACTACATTGGGATTTGGTCGATAGGCTGCAATCACAAATTGAGAGCTAAGATCTATACTGATTATATTTTAAATACATTATAAACTTATTGAGGTCACTCTCTTTTGTTATCTCTTACCGACGGATGAGACTTGCCATATTTCCTGACCTAAGGGCGACATCTAACTCTGTCGATTGAGAAGTGCTACAGCCGTGTTTTACTGTGAAAAGTGCCGAGAAAGTACATAACGCCAGTCAAAGCTGTCTACTCGAACTCATGCAGCCATGTAAAGGCTAGTGAGGAGCTTTCGTCTGAAGTGATGGCAACTAGTGGTGTCTGCCAGAGATGCCCACTATCACCATCCCTGTTTAATTTCTTTATAAATGTATTAATGAACATAACCGTTGGTACCTGTGACTTTTCAGGGATCGATCTACCCCGTAGAGGGCATGGGTGTTGACTTGGAGTACGCAGATGACGCTGACGAATACAGCGTCTTGTGAACGCGCTGAGCAGAAATCTGGGTATGTTTGACTGACATGCGTTTCGCACATGTTAAGTGTAAGATGCTGCTGCGGGACTTATGCAACTGCCCCTAGTTTAAAAATAGTGAGTTAAGTGGTTGAATGCGTCACCCACTTCACTTACTTCGGCACAGGGTCAGCTTGAATAGGTTGGTTATTAACGAAATCTCAGCTAGGACAAAAGATACCCGTTTAGCACTTGCCACTTTGCGTCATCTATGGTGCCAACTTGCCAGATATCCGACTACCTGTTAAATGACGAGTATGCTGCACTGGAGTTTTGTTATACGACTATGAAGCACGTCAGCTGAAAGCAAAAATGGGAATATTACAGTTTTTCGAATACAGATATCTTCGTAGCATTACTCGCATGTGGTGGAATCACCATGTTAGCAATGTAAAGCTTAAGCAAAGGGCATTTAGTAAGACAAGCAGGTCGGTCCTTGAGGTTGTAAACCATAATCGACTGAGATGGTTTGACCACAGGTTGTGCATGTTGAACCACTGTCTACTTCAACATGCAATGCTAGGTGAAGTTGGATTAGGTTGGAAGAAGACTCAGGGTGACCAGATCAATACATTACACGAGTCCATGAGGTCTTTGACTGTTGGTCTGAGTAGTGTGGGCAGATGTAGACTACCTTGCATAGAAGTTTATCGGTTCCAGTTGCCGTACTTCACAGTATTTTAGATAGAAAAAGTGGATAAAAATAGACTGAGATCAAAGTAAGCAAAAATGCATGAGTGGATGGCGGAATTCGAGAACAAAAGTAAATGAAAATGTTCACACACTGGAGAAGTCAAAGTATTAATACATCGGTACCATTGTGACTGATTTCTAGCCATGTTACCAAGATCCTGCAACCATTGATTACCACCGTCCGGGGGAACCCCAAACAGGCAGTCTACAGCTGCCCACACTACTCAGACCAACAGTCAAAGACCTCATGGACTCGTGTAATGTATTGATCTGGTCACCCTGAGTCTTCTTCCAACCTAATCCAACTTCACCTAGCATTGCATGTTGAGGTAGACAGTGGTTCAACATGCACAACCTGTGGTCATACCATCTCAGTCGATTATGGTTTACAACCTCAAGGACCGACCTGGTTGTCTTACCTAGTACTGGGAGTATCCTCGTATCTTACACTTGTCACCAAGAATGTGCACTCTCTTTACTTCATTTCTGCTGTACATATTCTGACGACAACTTCTTGTATTTTAGACTTCCTGTAGATTGATCTATCAAGATTTTGGTGACCGGTAATTGTAATTTAACTTCACAATAGTCATCCTGTTAAGGAAGTCGATAGAGAATATTAGGGTAATTGACGTTATTATTTTATCACTATTGATATGTAAACTGATGTTCGAGAGTTGGTTTGCATATATACTACTTAACTATTGACAATGAAACATTTGGGTGTGTAAGACTAGAAGGGTAGATCTATCGGAATCGAAAATCGATATGCCTTCAGAAACTTCGTGCACATTCTTGCAGTAGTCAATGAGCTGCACCTATTGTGTTAGGGTTTATGATACTACCTGGCTGTCCAAACCTTGGTAGGTGGAGTTGTGTTTGAATTCATGACCCATCGGTTGAAAGTCAGCTGCCTAAACCAATGAGCTATATCTACATATTTATGTCCTTGGTATGATTATGAGCAATAACTTACGCTCATTGTTATTTAGGCATTTTTTATTTTCCCTACCTTCACGCGATAGGTTTATGCTGAAGCTTGGAAAAGACTAACTAGTCCACCAACTTGTGAATTTCCAGAGTTAAATTATTCAGACTTAAGTGATTAGTATAGAAAGAGTAGTCATACCTAAATTGTTTTGTCGCTAGGTTTTCAACTAAAGTTTTTTGGCTAGTAGTTTTATGCTCAAATTAAAGTGTCCCCTTTTTGTTTGAGTAATATATACTTGAAGATTTTCTCAGCTTTCCCTAGGGCTGGTGCCAGTCTGATTCCGTAAATATTAGAGTTTAACTACATAGGTGTAATTTTTATTTAGTGTGTATTATTAATCCGCCGTCATTATTATGTGTGACGAGTAATCGTGTACTGTTTGTGATTGCAGATATCCCAATGCCATCAACAAATGACGTGACCCATGAAGATGTTTCACCACATGGTGCGGAGGGAGCTCTTGAAAAACGCATATCGCATGGATCTGAGATGGAAACTGAATCAGCACCTAATGAAAATCGACCTTGTGGTTCGGAAGAAGCTTCGTACTCAGATAAATCCAAGGCAGCTCCTCTCACATTGTCCCTCGAGAGAGATCGTTCCCAGAAGACTATATCAAGTAGTGTAGCTAAGTTTCTTCCCCAGGCTTGCATACAATCTGTGGCCATGAATGCAGACTACATTGGAGGAACAAACATTCATTTGACTTCTGGACGACATCAGGCTGGCTATGACATATATCCAGGGCTTCATAATCAGGCTGGAGGGCAGTTTTTCCGTGTTGCTAAACGTACTCAACTTCTGTTTCCTCAAAATGAAAAGAAGGTGAGCTTCTTTTAGTTAATATTAAGCTACCTTGTAAAATCATTATTAGGTTACGGACAACTATGTAATGGTTGTGGATTTTGAGCATCAGTAGATCCTCTTACGACTTGATGTTATGATTAGAGTGCTTGTCCCATAACTTTCGTGGCGTGGACATCCAGTAACTGTCAACCACCCGCACGCTCCAAGCAGTATACAAAACGCAACCAAACATAACTTGCCATCCTTACCTTTGCCTTCACTTCCTGGTACTAATACCAAACCTTTTACAACTTCTTCAACCTCTCACTCTGCAACCATTGGCAAAGATATAAATCAGCGAAATACCGTTATTAATTTTCTAAAACCTGGCTGTCGGTTTCACATTGGACCTGTCAACGTCCGAATCCTATGCTGAACAGAATAGCAGGCATTTCTTGTCAGGACTCTGGAATCTCGAAACATAGATGTATGATGTGTCTCTGAGATACGTAAACAGGACCCGAGTTTATTTATTAAGTTGACCTCACTTGACCTGTGCAGTAGTTCTTCAAAACTCACCTTACGAGTAAGTGAAGACCCAGTGGCTAGCTCTCATGGACTCCTTGGTACAGGCATAGCATTGAGTTATAGGGCAGGATCTGCGCCTCTCGACTGGACACCAGTCAACAGCCGTCTGTATGCTGTTCGACTGAATGGATTTGTAAAGACTAGGAAGGATCATGAGACTAGGCAATGCCTGTTCATACTCTCCTCCTACGCACCCACCGGCTGCTGTTCAAATGATGCAAAGGATGAATTCTATGAGAAGCTGTCAACTTTTCTGCAGAAAGCAAAACGTTCAGATGTAGTCATAACAGCAGGTGACTTTAACGCTCAAGTGTGGGAGCTGAGTGAATCGGAAAGGTATCCTGAGGATATTTACGGAATCCTATGGCAACAGACCGATAACATTGGTCATCTGACAATCACTTGTTTCTGACCAGCACTAACTTCAAGCATAAGGAGAGACACTGTCTCATTTGGTGTCTATTTCTGTCTTAGGTACCTCAAAAAAAGTAACCTGTGATGTAAGCTGCTGGGAACTCAGTCACCCTCACAACTGTGTCAGAACTCAAGTCCTCTTAGATGTTCGAAGATCATTTGTTGGACCAATTAAAAGTCTTACCTAACATATATATGGCAATCAGATATAATTCTGTTGGACTGGTCTCAATTACTGATGGTCCTAGTCTTCAAGAAAGACTTGAAATCCTCCTATGATAGCCTTTGAGAGACCAGTCTGACGAACTTAGCGCTTAGGACCCAGCGCCATATTTATCAAAAGTGAAGATTGGTAATGTCAGACCTGAGAAAACCATATTTTAAACCTTGTCGTGTGTATATCGACCAGCTATTTGCACTCAGCCAGGTTCTGCAATATAGGCACACATACAGCCACCCGACACTAGCCATATTTCCTGACCCGTAGACGATGTCCAACTCCATCGATCTAGAAGTATTATTTAAACTAAGCACATCACTCTGTTGAAGGTTATGTACTCGAAAATTCATGGGTGTCACAGTCTGTGGTTGAGGTGTCAAGTGATTTGTGTACTTTGAATGGTGTTAATCTAGGATATCTACTCTTCAATGTTATTTTATTTTATCACAGACGTGCTCCTCTTCTTACGTTGTAGGAATTGACCACAAGGTAGTCCTTAATAAACTTAGAGCACACAGACAACAGAATCCTGTGTACTATGTGGTAGCCCAGTATTTCCGAAACAATCTGACCGTAAATGTTATATGTCGAAATCAGGTTTTTCCAACTATCAGTCAGCTATAATTGAGGTCAGATCGATACAATTCAACAACGCAAGCAAACTTGGGTTTACTTTATATCCATGATATTAAAGAGTTTATATACCTTCAACTTAGAGTGTCTAAGTGTTTATTTAATTATCAGGCGTAGATGAGTTGCGAAAGCTAAATAGAGAAAGAAAGCATTGATGATGTACTATAGGTGTCATATGTTCCAGTTAGCTGAATAGACAATTCTATTGTGAAACATCCGGAAATATCTTGTTTTGATTTTCTAAACACACTGAAATTATATTAAAATATATTATTATAATAATTCTATCGAAATTCGTGGTCATATTAATAATTGAAGGTTTGAGTTGACGATCTGTTCTCATAGCTGAGCTGTGGTTCAGTGGTTTAGGGAGACGGCTACCAACCATTGGATTACGGATTCGAGTTTCGGTTCACCTACCGAGGCTTGGACAGCCAGGTAATATCATTAGCCGTCACACAATAGGTGTGGTTCGTTGCCTAGTGCGTGGATATGCACAAGGTAGCTGAGTGCGTTATCTTTAACAAATTAATCGGAAAAAAATACAATGTTGCAACAAACATGTTAACTGGCTTTCGGTAGGTATTTAGGCTTATCCTGATCCTTCGACGAAATCATAGGTAATGAAGAAGCCGAAAGGCTGTTAGAGATGTTGCTTTGATGCATAACCGCAGCATATATTCAAATAATGCTTTTGTAGCTGATAGCTTCACTGATAATAATTACTTAATAGAGCACAAATCGATTGTCATTTATTAACGATTTTGTGGATGCTGTTATTCGGGAGTACATGTCTCTCATGAATAAGCTTCAGACATTATGGATTTAGCAGTCCAAAATTGTGCCTCGTTGCTTTGAATACAAATATTCATGGATTTTTGTTCATTTCAATCAACAGATTGGAAATACTCAAGAAATCTATATCAAATATATCATAGTGTCTACCTGCAAGAATAAGCATTCACATTCGCTTTGTATTTATGTATTTTTTCACTTGCCTACAATTATTGCTGCTATAAATTCATAGTGTAACATCCCCTATAAGGCTGTTTCTTTTAGATTCCATCATTTACGACTTACTTTTTGAGATCTTGAGCGAAAATGAATTCTCGGGAAACCGTTTCTTTTATGACAGGGGCGAAGCTAGTCTTCAAAATACAATAAAATCCTATTAAAGTAATAGGAACCATACTGTAGTAACATGCATGAGATTATTCAGGAGACAAGGTGTGGCTTATTTGTGTAGACAGTAGATTTCAAAGCAAGTCGCACTTAAATAGCTAACAATCGTGCCCGTAATTTTGCTTTGTGCTCTGTGCAGGGAAAATGCAAAGTGCTTCTAAGAGATTGATAAAATCCTGTAATCGTATTTACCTTTTTTGGTGAACCGTTAGAAGCTGTCAAAGAGTTTGTGTACCTGTGTAGTCATATGGGTGTTGTTAGAGGCATGGTATTTAAGCTTTCCAACCACATGTCCAGAGCCAAAACAACATACTCCGACCTAGGTCACCTTTGATACTATGACGTTAAACGTACTGTGCAAGGTCGGGTATACAATGCATCAGTGGGGGATGTTCCGCTTTGTGCCTTTAAAATCTTGTCTATCCGAGCTGAAGATGTTCGAGGACTGCTGTCCGACCACTGTCATCTCTATAGGATCTGTGGGATTCAATGGAAACTACATATAAGTAGTTCTAAGAAGGGGGCGATGTGCGTTTATGTGAGGATAGAAATCGTCATTCATGGAATGTGGTCATCTTGAAACGCAGGTTTCGGTGACCTGAATATACATTATGTATGTCGTCGCAGTGACTCTCATACCGCTCACTGTTCGCCTGCTTTGGAAATGGTTGCAAAAAGTGGAGAGGTGGTCAGTGTACGACTTGGTGCTGTTGAATAAAGGAATGTTGTCTTCGTTTACTATCTATGGATGGCTCATTACCTCATTGATAGGACCTGAGGGATCATGCAACTCCATTGGCTTGAGATGATAACACAGTGCTGACAATCGAAACCAGGGGCGATCATACTGCAGCTAATGAAGCTACTGTTGAAAAGTAAAACGGATTTAGTGATTACTTCTTTGTATGTATATTTGAGACTGCTTCTGTGATAACCCGTTTTGGTTGTTGTTTCTCTCCTTCTTTCCGTTTTCTGTGTCGGGGTTTTATCTTTATAGTGTTGTGCCAAGTTTTTATTGTAAACAAATAAAATAATAATGTCGTCAACTCTTCAAAAATTTATTTCTAACGATTTAGGCACACTGAACTTGACTGGCTTAATGTAATTGCAAGTTGATGTTTGCACTGAATATGTGCTATATAACTTCGGATAATATTTTTAGATTTTCATGTTTTTTTTCTCAACTCACATATATTGGGACTTCAATTTATTTAAAGATTCACTGGGATGAATATGGTGCACATCTTGACCCGGAGTTATTCCCTTCAACAGAACCTGTTTCCAGTCAGGTAACACTACCAAATTGGGATGTAAAAAACAAAGGTTAGTTTCTTATGAGAGGAATAGAATTAATCATCAATTGATTTACTAAATTGGAATTTTGTTAGATGTTCCCTTCTAACTCATTCGTTTCCTGTGTTCACTATCTTTTTACCCCTTTTCATATAGTTTCTGTTTGTCTGTAAATTGTGTCATAGGCGCTTTAACCTGCTTGTAGGTTATTTCGAATACGCCCACAGAGCATTATCATGCTACTTACGACATCTGGTATTCAAAAACACTACAGCACTTGTTCAGGCTTTTTATTCATTAAACATTATACCGAATAATTTACTATCTAAATCCTTTTTTTGGCAATGATTGCAGTAGCGTACTCATAATTATTTGCTGAACATCTATACAACCGATCACTTCGGTGGCCTGCTTAAAATTTAGGCTACCAAAATATTTTCATCGAATACATTTCAATAAGTTGTTTGTTTTTCAATTTTTTCATTCATTCGAATGTCAACACATTGTAAAACATACTCTAGTACGTTCTTTAAATGTCTTCAATCTATCGTTAGACAAGTTAAAAAATTACTAAAACATATCACAGTAGATGGTAATTGGGCCCTTAGCGCACAACAGTACATCATATAGGTGGAACTGCAAATTTTTATACTGGCTGAATAAACTTCCACCACTAAACTTACGAATGCTTTCCTATTCATTCCCCTTACAACCACTTACTCAGAAACTAGACGATAACATAAAAATAACTGGTCATTTTATTATTGCTTATCATACTATTGTTATTAACAATATTTAACTGCCACAATGACTTATTTGGGAAATATTGTGCAAGGAGTAAATGTGGTCGAATGTCGCACTGAGAATTGCATCATCTATTAAAAATTATTGACTGGAGTAAATTGATTATTATTATCATTATATTTTGAGGGAGTTGTGGGGATTCGGAAATATTTCAAGTTGTTATTCATAGTAGACTGATATCAGTGGAGGAACAAAGGAGACTGGGAGCACTGAACAGCTGTTTCGTCCTGGTGGGGTCGTGGGTGCGCACTGCTGAGGAGTCCCATACTAGGACGAGACAGCTGTCCAGTGCTCCCAGGTTTCCCTCGTTCCTCCAACTGATGTCAGTCTACGATGAATAACAACTTGAAATATTATTATTGTCATTATTATTATATGTATGATGTGGCTTGCGTATGAACACAAAGTTAGGCTTTCTCTCATACAACTTTGTTTGGGTCGCAAATTGTCATCTGGGAATCCTAATTCCATCGCCCACGTAGGATAGTGCCGCCTCATTCAGGGAATCAATAAACTCTGTGGTATAAATTGTAATTAAGAGCTGCATATTGATCAGCTGCCGTTTGTTCAATTCCCACTGCATCATCATTGCCACTTGTAGAAGAACTGTTCCCTAAATTTGTCATCATTAAGATCATAAATGAAAAGTAAGTTAGTGTATAATAGCCAATACTGACTGACTGCTCAGGACGATAGTGGTAGCCGATTACGTATATACATTTCGTCCGAAATCTTTGCATCATGAGCTTTTTGTAGTGTTACTTTTTCGAGAGTGAATGAAAGACTGTCAAACTTAAGGAACAAACAACCACAGAACTCAAGCTCAATGTATCTAGGACAAATAAAAAGTTTATCAACACGATCTTTAACTTCGTACTGTCGGTACTGTTCACATAGTAAATTCATTATCGGTCTGCAGCAAGTGTCTTTGAAAACATTGTTTTTACTTTTATATCTTCAAATAATACTGTTATTATCCACAGATACAAAGATAATTACGGATATTATCACATCGAGTTTCACATCTTCATCAATTTTGGATTATTTGGTTGCTAAAACTCCGCATTTAGATGTTCTGGATTCCAACACTCGTTGTGTAGCACACAATTTAGAAATACCCTTACGATGTGAAATTATTTTCTTAGATTATGAGGTTAGTTTATATGAATACTTCGACGTGTTCCTTCTCAATAAAAAAGTAAATTAATGATTCTACTAGTTCTATCATATGATATTGTGGAGTTTAATAGTAAAAAAAAAAATTTATTCCAGTCATTCAGTATCACCATGAGATCTGCCATTTCCTGTCTAACGGTCCAAATCGTTATACTCCATATCAACTCATCAATATACCATAAAACAAACAAGACAAAAGATAGAAGAATGTAAATGCTAAAATTAAAAGTCGGAGAAAGTCATGAAAAGCAAAGAAGCGAAAACTAAACGAATGAGGAAATGTATTATAACAGTTAAGATAAAGATTATGTGTAGATAAATCAGCGTCACTTCTACTGAATTCTGATTGAGTCATAATATCATCCATCTCAGTTGTTATGGGGATCAAAATCGAGAAGTTTGTGTTTACCTACACAGCTCAAAATAACAGTCAGGGACTCTATGGACTAGTTTCATATTTTTATACCGATATCTACCTACTTGGTAATATGTATATGAGTGTTGTAGCATTGAAAGCCTGAACTTAGTAATAGAAAATCAGTCGTGTGGATCGTAGATTAATGACTCTGTAGTGGTGTATTAACCACTGATGATTAACACTTTACGTACTCAATAATAAAGCAGAATATAAGAGCTGCTTAATTGACACTTTTGGTAGAAATGACAAGTCTTCTCCGTAATAAAGTTATTAAAAAAAGTATTTTGTTTTTATTATCATTACTATCACCATCATCAGTGGTCTCAGTAGAGACTCCATTGCATGCTTATCTTTTTGTGGATACACCTCATGATTAAAAGTAAATGTAACAATAATTACACAGTTTATCAGAACCTCTTCTCGGTAGTTTTTTTGCAATTTCTACATCTCATATTTAGAATGTTTTTCCGATGCTTTACTTTTTAGTTATTTGTTTCCAAGTGAGTTGTCTACGGTTGACTTTGATGTTGAGTACCAGTTGGATGGTTGCACTTCTCTGCATGATCAGAGGGTTTGAGACGATTCAACCTGAGTGATTCGTAAAGAGAAATCGAAAGACTGGAATCAAATGAGTTTATAGTATGCCGGACTGAAAACGTTAATGAGTGAAAACGGACTCTATTTATAGAGTTTGCAGTAACTTTGAAAGGCAAGAGATGATTGGTGCATTTAAAGAGTCAGGAGCCAATCAGAACGCTAGCGGGTCATATGAAATGTAACCCATGCTCGAGAGAATAAAGTGCGAAGTAAAACAGTTTAAATATACCCAAACTGTAAGTATGGAATATAAGGGATATAGGCATCCCTTACAGTTGTTGAATATTGTGTCTATCTATTTGCAGCAGAATCTTGCAAATGCGTACAAAATCGGTCACGTATTTTTCAACTATTGTGTTCACATTCTTATTTTCGAAACAACCAATCCGGTTTACTATATTATATGCGCAGAAAGTATTCATAACAGCATATGATTTTTAGTGATGATAAATGTTCTGCAGCCCTTCTTAAGAGATTTCTTACCTTTAGGGTCGATCAGATGGAGAGGCTATGAAGCGTATTCTAATCGGTTTAAGACCACAAGAGGTCATTCTGGTTGGCAACAATTCACTAGCTGTTGATCATCTAGCAAATTATTGTCGCGGTGTTATGCTTTTGGACCAGAGTTTAATACATATTCCACATGCCCAAGAAGTTGTCAATTGTACTAAAGAAGGTGATATTTATCAGGTGTGTTCCACTGTACTTTTGTTGATATATATATATATATATATATATATATATATATATATATATATAGACTGACTTAGCTAATCATTGCATCATCACTATTATCTTTTTCTCTACTTACAGACATTGTCATTGATCTGTAGACTACTCTACCTATTAGAATAGAGGTTCTGTATTCTCTGAATTGAATTTTCAGTTAAGGTTTCAACTACAATCTCCACCTTGTTATCATGATAGCTTATTTGTGAAAATAAAGTTGGAGAGGTAGTTGTTTGTACTCTGCATTGCTTATTGTCGTGTCACTATCATAGTTGTACAACGAATGCTATACTATCCAATTGGGATTACTATTTCATAAAATCATCTCCTGAAGTGTCATCTTAAATGTTTTGATCCTTAAGGTTGTAGTAAATTCCCCTAATAACTAGTGATTATAACATGTCCATAAGCTACTTGTTTCTTCGAAATTCTTATTACCTATGTGCGTCACTGTCTGCAAATTTGTGTTTTCTAACAATTATGAGTGAAAATTGTTCGTTCATGTATTCAATGTTAAGTGCCAAGTATCTACCCTCACCTTTTCGTTTCATATCGAAATATCAAAGCCACTAGAAGGCGAATATCAAATTTTACTGACCTGCATACCAGGCCACCTCTTACTTCAACGTGTAGTGTTAGTTGAAGTTGGAAGAACGCTGAGGATGACTAGATCAAGACAGCACCAGTTCATAGGATCTGTGAATGCTGATCGAACCTTGTAGAGGGAGGTAGACTGCCTGGTGAAAGCCTTTCGAGGCGATATGAATCAGTGATTAGAAACTTTTGATGACATGGTTAAAAATCGGTCGCAATAACGCAGATGTATTCACTCTTTGATGGTTTCTAAGGCTTGATAATTTTCACTAAACTTGATTTTCAAATCCTCTTCTCTTATAAACCTTTTTTAGTTTGATATCATTCTTTTCACACTCAATTATTCGTTACATACTACCGTGGATCTGTAGCTCATCGGTTAAGGCGGGTGACTTTCGACCACTAGGTCACAAGTTCGAACACCGCTCCACCTGCGGAAGTTTTCGCTGTCAGGTGGTTTCATTGGCCTTCACACAATAGGTGTGGCTCAGTGCCTACTTCACGAATCTACACAGTGGTTGTTGAGAGCATTTGATCTTTTCTTTGCATGCTACTCTGAATTGTGACAACTGAAACCTATGAATTTCTGTGCGAGGTTCTAGTTTGATTTTGGCTCCCATTGTACTAGGGTCACACTTTTAGTACGGTTATTTAGCTATTAGACATAGAAATTAAGTACGGCTTATTGTCTTAAGTGCTGGTCTCTCAACCAATGGCTTCCCGTTTCAAACATTATCTCACTTATTTCGAACTTTACCATCGAGTTCCACATATGAATTATGCCGTACTGCAGCATACTATGTAAATATGAGGAAGTGTGACAGTCCTGGAAAGAGATAATACAAAGAATGCCAGGGAATTTTTAGAAGCTTGGTATTCAGGTCAGTCAGCAATTAATAGATATGTTGACACTGACTGAATCTGTCAACCAATACGAAAAAACGAGAAGGTCAAATTCCAGGTTGTCGGGACAACCAATCAAAATAAACGTGGAGACAGTGGCACGACCTTGGGAGACAACCAATCACACACAAGGTCATCACGACGACCTAATAAACAAATTATGGAGAAGACCTTATAGTTTACTTCTTTCTGAAATTTGTAGTGATGTTGTCTAGAATAACAATGAAAGCTCCAGGATCAAACTATCCAACTCAGAGAACTCAACCCCATCAAAATAATCAATTTTCTGAAACTGAACTTTTATCTTAGGTGATCTAATGAAAGTTTTTCAAAAGGCAAATGAATCAATAAGTGTAACTTTCAGATGTATTATATTACAGTCGACTGTATTTCCTGTCATGTACTAGTCAACCAATTGATTGATCTGAAAGTTCATAGAACACCAAAATATTTTCATCCTCAACCTGAACTAAAAATCTCTTGTATTAGCTTAAAATAGATTGATTTATTTCAATATAGTATATTGTTGAAGGTATTGAATCTCACTCATGAGGAAAACAAATTCTTTAGTTATTTCTATCCGTAATAAAGCTCATGCCTCTCATAGTTCATTTGTGATGAAAAGCTTAAATCAAGCGAATACTGTATTTGTTGTAGTTATTTATATCAGCTGATTCATTTACTGATTTCGATTTTATAATGTTATTCACCTTCATCAGTATATATTTAACTTAAATTTTGATTGTCTGTTTTTATAGGCGCGAATGAAAGATAGTTTAGTTTCTAGTTTGAAATTTACAAAGATACGTGATTATGAATTGGCTTGGGTTGAAGCCACTGTATCACTTGACGATAAATCTGATTATCACATTCAAGAAAAGTTGTTAGAAGATGATGTGGAAATGTCCAATGGTAATCATCTGGAATTGGAATCCAAAAGTCGTACACCTTTGGCTGCTGATGAGTTACCAGTTCTTGGCCTTCCAAACGGTCCTGTAGGTCACCATGAAACTGTATTCGTAAATGAACCGAAATTATCTGATGTAAGCTTTAATTATGGTTTGAAATAATTATTTTAATGTTTGTTAACTGCTGTTTATATGCTGTATTGTATATAGATGTCGCTAAGTGAATTGGGACTCTGACATTAATAAGGAAATGTTATGCTGTATGGTTTCCTGATTAGTTATTATCACTTACATATACGTAGTTTTGAGTTAAAAACCTTTGCTTGTCTTCACACCGGAAAACACTGAATGTGTACATAGGAATCTATCATTTCGCTGTATCAGTGAAGCATTTTCACTTATCCAATATCCTTTCTTTCTATCCTGTTTTGCTTAGTTTTATCAGTCAGTTTTCCTGTGGTCTTAGTTTTCAATAGGTGTAGCAGAGAGTTAGGTGGATACATCGTGGATGCCCTTAACTTGTTGGATAGAATGAGATTTGTAACTGGGTTCCACTGGTTGAAATTTTAGTGTCTAGATTAATGAGCTACAACGCAGTTTTGCCAGGTTTTACATTGTTTCTGTTTGTTCTTTTTATTTCGATAATACTTTTGTAAAAGTTTGATTTAGGTGCAAGTTATTAAGAAGCTCGTAGTTGTAGGTTTTATTTTCAGTGATATGAATTTTCTCCACTTGAAATTTATCCAAGATTCTCAACATCCTGAATATTGATGACCCCCATTTCTCATCCTATTCACTTTCCAAGTTCTTGATTATTACTTGTTGGCATCACATTTCTCTCATGTTATTGGTTTTTACGTTGTACCATTCCAAAGTGTGTTATCTGTTTACTGTACGTATATTTTCACGCTAATGAATATAACTTAACCTCATAGCCTAATACTTTTTGTGTGACACTATTATTATTATTATCCTGTGTATATATGTAATAACTGGGCAATGGAAATACGCTTAATGATTCATTTTTATTATTTATTTTTATTATAAGCTGAAACAACTCTTGCTATCACAAGGTTTAATGGCAGAATTTGTCAGTGGGATATTAGTCGTGGACAATTGTGTAGCTATCAAACGATCAGAAGCTGGTAAATTACTGCTGGAAGGTTTATTGTGTGGCACTTACTTTGAAGTGCGTCGAATTCTGTATCAACAATTCGCTATCCTATGAGGATATGAGATAGATAACATCTTATTTTACTCCCCTAATTATGTACATATATTCATTCTGTCAAATAAATATGTTGTTTTGCTATTGTCTGTCTTCTTCTTATCAGCGTAAAGCTGGCACTTTATTTGTTGCTTTTATACGCTTCCTGTAATTTTGTTGTTGGTAAAAAGTCTGTCTTCTTGATAGAAAGTATTATTTTGATACTTTTATATGTGATGTCAGTTTCCAGGAATTCCTCACAGAAATACTAATCTAGAACTTATACATTACCGGGTTCGCATAAAATCTGATCAGTAGTAGGTAAAACACAACAACAATGTAGGTCAAATCGGTAGACGTTTATTTACTAGGCTATTGGCCACACTTGTTCTAAGACTTATGATGATACTATATTGACCAGGTCGAATTAGGTGGAGCGGACTACGAGCCTAAAGGTCATTGGTTGAAAGTTAAGTCTCTAAGCCAATGTACCACACCTCTGATGTAATCCTGTGTCAAGTCACTGGTACAAGCTAGTATGTAATTCTAAAGTATAGTGGTGTAGATGTCCAGTTTTTATTTCATTTTATTTCCTCTTCGGCTGTTGCTAGTTGATAAAACCCGTTACTTATTATGTAGCTTGGTTATCTAGTAGATAACACGGGAAATTAAAGCATTTGATGGTTACTTGAAGTCTCAATGAAAGGACACTAAGATGCACACATATCTAACTAGTTTGTCTGAAATAGATTATATTAACCTTGTGGTGATAGGTGTTCATGATGTCAATTAAGATGTTTCAGTCAAAAGTGATTCTTTTACACTGGTTTGATTTTTGTCAACATTTGTTAAAAAAATGGCTAGACCGATATAATATCCTTTACATCCTTGTTTATCTTCTCTCCTATATTCTGAATCATCACGATGCAGCTAATCCGTGAAATTCACCGCACTATGAAGAATAAAATAACGATAGTACTCAACGAGCTTAAATTGGGGCGATGAGATCTTGCAAAGTGTTAACATAAGAGTAGCGATTCTTTGACCTTTGGATAATAACAGACAACCACATTACTAGGTAAGGGTTCAAATAAGATTGAGGGTATTTCCATTGCACTAAATGGGTAGTAGGTGTTTGAAATTTCACTTAAAATCCACTCATCTAGAATACATGTTAAAAGCATTCCCGTTGTATATCTTAGATACCAGTAATATGCTTAAAGCCATGAAGTGTAACTAATTGACTCTAAATATGTGTCATATTCTCATGGTATTGTCTTCTCTGAGATGGATGGGTTAATCGCGGAGCTTTTATCGTCATTGTAGACGGTCTCATCAGCACAAACTTCAGCAAGGTTAACTGGTTCACTAGTTACTAACCGGGCCTAAGCCCGGATAAAGAGGAAAGGCTAGCAACCCTACCCCGTAAAACCAATTCAATCGCTAAAGAAACTTCGAAGCATAAGGAAAATATAAAAGATGAAGACAAACTTATTCCTCGAAGAGACGAAATGACGCCGGTTGGTGAAAGCCTTCAGGAAGCCAATTGGCCGATGTGTCTACTCTTCTCTCGATGGAAGCGAAATTAAACATGGGGACATGGAATGTCTAGACAATATATAAACCTAGCAAGGCTGCTCAGATTACCAAAGAGATGAGAAGGTATAGCATAGAAGTGCTAGGCTACAAGACCGGTTTTCGACTATATTTGTCATATTTCACAATGGCAAGTAGTAGGAGAGAGGGGAGGGGGGCGGAGGATAGGCTAGTAAGAGCGTATCAATGAAAATAAACGAACTGACAATGTCCTATTGATATCATCTCGCCACATCATTTGCGCTGTCGAAATATAGGTTACTGGTGCTTCGATAACATTTTGAATGCCTTAATTTACGGTACGTGGCTATAATAATCATCTTACAACTAGTCGATCTCAGGTTCAAACACTGGATCAACTATCTAAGTTCAGGCAACGCATTGCTATTACTGGTGTTCACAGCAATAGAGTGACTCAAGCTTTCGATCATTAGTATATCAGCAGCTGGTCCCATGCACTAGTACAATGTCTTGTATTGCATATTTGAATCTTTTTCTATACTCAGTCTTGCTTAACCAATGCTATTTATCGAGTTATATATGTGTACCACGTAAGTGTAATACCGTTCTAGTTAATATAAGTCTTTATTGTACTAGAATTCTTGCTACTTCGTAGTTACAAACGAAAGCTTTCGTGATTTTGCACCAGTTGTTATCTAATGTGAAATGTTATTTAACAATTAACAGACATGTCTACTAAGTGTATCGTAGGAAACAATTATGAAATATATTGAATGTTCTAATAACGAAATATCAGTACATTGAGATAATATACGGTTATCATTGTCAAATATCTACGACTCACATCGAAGCAGCCTTCTGGACTCTGTGAGGGAGATACTCATCTTATTATTATTATTATTTCTCCTCTGGGTCCCTAGTGGAACATAAGGCTTCAGTAGTACGTCAACATTTCACCCCACCGGTTACTAACTTTCATTAGAAATTCAAGAACCACCACTCAAAGCTATATCGTGAGCTGACAGAAGTATGAAATATATACCCTGGATTCCAGTCCAATGGCTCAATGAGAGCGTGTTGGTTGCGGAACCTGACGGTCCTGGGTCCCATTCGGGGCTGAGTGAGGCCATAGGAGAAATAAAGAAAATAACCTGCTTCATGTGAAATGTTTCGTTTCTGACTTGGCAAAAAAATCTTCAAATTTTTTATGCGTTGTTGCTATTACTGGCAAAACTATCTAACAAGGTAAACTGGTAGTACGCATAATCCTTTTGTTTAAACAACGAGATGTGTGTGTGCTTGTTTCAATAATTAAGGTCATTCAACCAATTAATCAATCAGTCATTCGATTAAACAAAAACTAGTTGCTATTGAACAGCTTTTTTTCTAAACAGATAATCTTTTACTCTATCTAGCATTCAAATCTTCATTCATATTTTCCGTTAAAATGAAAATGCCGTGTTCTCTTTTCGATTTCTTGCTGAATTTTCTGATAGTTTCTATATTACACATTATTTATTGCTTTAACATGTGAACGATGGGATTCCTGACGTTAATATCACTGTACAGCGGACTAATACTATTTAGTTTCTTTGAAATACTTATTTCAATGTAACTGATCACGACAAAAGATGTAATAAGTGGTTCATGTCCAGTACTGAGTAACTGTTGGTTTATTGCGACAATAAAATAGCACACTCTATCAAGTGACACGTAGAGATAAGTTCGGTACATCGGACTACTTTCGAAACCTTATTTACTCATAAAGAAATGTGAATAGAATTTTCCCTGAAACTAGAATTATTTAGTTGGATTACTTGTCCCTTGGATTCCTAGTGGAACATAAGGCTTCAGTAGTACGTCACCATTTCACTCTCTTCTCTCCAGTCTTTTCAACCTGGCTCCGCCACTGCCCACAACCTTTCATTTCTTCCTCACATCATCTCCTCCATGTCACCCTCACATCAGACGCCCAACTCGTCATTCCCCCTTCGGATTCCACTCGAGGGCCTCATCTGGCCTGGCCTAGCATGTGATGTCCCCAATCGACCTTCTCACTATATCTCCAATCCAATCCATCTCCACTTTCGTGTGAATATTTGTTGGACGATAGGTTGTTAGTTGGTTCGTTGCCAGTCAGTCAGCAGTCGTCAGTCAGTCAGCCAGTGAGCCGGCCAGTCAGAGTTCCTTGTTGCTTATTTTTTTGTTGATGTTGTTGTTGTTGTTGGTTGGTTGGGTATCTTCATCACCTCTATCTTCTTTACATTCACCTTAAGGAATTCCGGTCTTTGTTGGCTCACCTGTTCTACCAGCTTGTTGGTAATTGCCTGTAGATCTTCGAGTTTGCGCGACAAGACGTCAGACATAAATCATCATCATCATCGACGGTGAAATGCAAATCTTGTAGGATGTTTTCATCGTTCAAACAGCATATGCCTATCTTCTCACAGCTCCTCACAGTTTGTTATATGACCCAGTCGACCTTAATGAGAGAAATCATTAGTGATGGTAGGCAACGTGTTGCAGCTGATGTTCGAGTGGAGAGGTTTCTGAAGTGTTCTGCCCATTGTTTACTTTGATTCTCCTTTTCGCTAACTAGATTTCCGTCACTATCTCTCATCGCCTTCATCTGTGTTGATCTCTTCCCTCCCAGATGGCAACCTGATTATTTGATATAATGTTATCAGGTCTCTCTAACCTGCAACCTGTTCTGCTTCACATGCCAGTGTGTCGTAGCAGTGTTTTTTGTCTTTCCGTGCACTCTTCTTCACTCCGTTGTCCAGTGTATTGTTTTATAGATTGTAGTGTACTCAATTCCTCTTTTCGTTGTTCATGCTTGCTCTTCACTGGTTCATCTTCTACTTCACCATCACCATTTTATTCTCCCTTCTCTATCAGCTTCCATGTGTCCGTGGAGATGGATTCATTGTCTTGTCTTGCTTCTTCTTCCTTCCTAACATGGTTATGCAGGTTTTCTCCCATATCTCTTTCAAAGAGTTCTAGTGTTCTTTCACGCAGGTTTTATCGGGGTCGTTGCTTAATGTTTCTCATTGTTTACTTACCCTATATACAATCAGAAATGATGGTACCTTATGTCGAAAAACTTTGAATGTACCTTGCGAAGTTTGACAAATGTTCGGAGAGAGTCACACGTTTAGAAGATCTGTGGGATGCATAAATAAGTAGTTTTCCTATACCAGTCAATGCATACTGTCCACCTGTATATAGTATTTCAGAATTAATTTATTTACTGTGATTTATTTTGACATTGTAGACCTCGATGTCCATGTCGAAATACACTTTTGATAGTGTTATGGATGATGTCCAACTTCTTATTTCTCGAATGCGTGCACGTGAAGAAGTTGCAGATGCATTAAGGCAACAAGCATCTAAATTACAATCACAGCTATTGAGTATGCGACAGGTGATCAACTATCTTTTTGTTATTAAAATGTTTTCTTTTTACTTATCATATATGAAAGTAGTATCTTTTTTTTCTGATAACGCGAAAGGTATCATGCTCTCTTAATATTCTTATAACATGCATAGTATCTGGTTGGTGAATGTTATTTTATCCATAATAATGATGCTATCAAACGGCACTAAATGTCAGTAGTTTTAATTGTGTTTGTTAAGTGTCACATTTAGCTTAACATAATGAAAAATGCAACAATTATTAAAATAAAATTACTTTTTACTAATATTTTTGATTTATGAGGCGTGAATAATTTATCAAATAAACGTCGGTACTGACACAGAAGTGTATCAGTCCAGGTTGTCACATTTCACAGCAGTAATCAAGAAAAAGGTACCTAAAATAGACCTTCATTCACTAGGGTCCATGTACAGCCACTTGCCACGTTCCAAATACTACGAAATGCATCTCCTAGATTCCACTGCTAGGAACTATCGATCTTTAGCATCAAAATGACATACATGTTGATATACGTGTTTTTTTGAAAGAGAAAGCATAAATGGATGAAAATGAATGGAAATATTGAAGATTTAGAATATGACAAAGAGTTTTATAAGGTTACTTCATCGTGACTAATTTGGGGATTTATCACCAAGCTTCTGCAAACATTGGTCCCTAATATCTAGAGCGCTCCAGTATGGTAGCCTATGGCTCCTCATACGACTCAGATCAACCGCTAGTGGCTTTGTCAAGCAGTAGCGTGTTTTGGTCTAGCCACCCGTAACCTTTAAGTTTAGTCTGAATTCGCACATTGAAATAGGTGGTCCAATCCACCTCAGCTGGTGAAGGTTCACAACCTAATTACTCGGAATTACCTTTCTTGTCTAATATCCTACATTTAACCTCGAAATTAACCATGCAGTGATTGTACTACATGTAAGCAACGCTAAGAAGACATATATGACCATATTCCTGGTAACCTTTTTATATCCTCTAGTCTCAACATCCGTGCTTTATTGCCGTACAGTAGATCAGAGTGGACTGCTTCAGAGCGCACTCATTTTTTGATGTGTAGTCAGATGTCTTTCACCGGCATCAAACATGACCTAGGTTGACAAATGCCTAATGTACCTTTGTATCTGAGCTGAAGATTGATATCTATGTTTTTTAATTTACAAACATGATTATAGTTTATCGTATTTTTACCGTGCGATATGTACACTTTTTTGTAATGCCTGTAAATCAAAATATACACTATGACAGATCCTATTGAAGATAATAACCATGTTGCCATCATCGGTTTCTTTTCAGGATATTTTTCTATTCATTCATTATTTATTTTGATAAGTTATTAGGAATAGCACTACGGTATCGTGTGTAAAGTTTTGATCAGTTAATTAATACTGCATCATTTTATTTATTTTCTGATTAACACAAGCTAATAAATGTTATTACCTGTTGTGTTACTACTTTTCTGTTTTACTTTAGTGCCGAGAAGAAACTCTTGGATTTGAAGAATTCTCTAAATGTGCCTTGACTCATCCAAAAGGTCAATTGCTTGTATGTCTTGCAGCTGAGAATAAACAATTAGAACAATTGAGAATTGAAAATAAAACACTTAGAAATTCACTTGATGAACATAACACTGCTTTAGATATGATTATGAGTAAATATCGTGGACAGGTGAGTGATATCGATGGTCTTTTTGAAAGGTAAACTCTCGAGTTCTTACGAAATCTAACGTGAAGTTGAATGTCCCGATTTCGAAATGACTTCACTGTCTCACCTTCGTTGTGATTTTTTTTGTATTATCTGTTGTGATTTGTTCCCTTATCCATAAGATAAAAGGGAGTTAGCATATTGAATTAAACTTCAAATCGAAAACAAGTGGTAAATATTGGTCACGAAATTTATTGGTATTTTGATACTTATTAGATTTAAATAACCAAATAAATCATAAAGTGATACTCCCCTTTATTTACTGAGGTTTTCATAGCCAATTAATATCATTAGCTGTCGAAATAGGTTTGATCTGAACCTATGCGGAGTAGTGTAGACGTAAATTCTGAACTGAATTATCAACGTTACTATTAATGCTCATTAGGTAAACATTATCAGCTGATTAGTTAGCTATTAGGCCTTCAAGTAACAGTCATTTGAAAGTGTAATCTTGAAGCCATATGAATTTTTAATCACAGTCCTTATTGTTTTAAGTGAACTTGATTTCTTCAGTGCTGACTTATTCAATGTAGCCGTTTATGTTTGCTTTCACATTGTTATAGCTCAATTTTGACGTAATCCGATTGTTTTCGATAGAACCTAACACTTATATTGGTTACTATTTTATGAATAATCCGTGTACTTTACGTATATGTTTTATATCCCTGCCGAGAGATACTACCTTGACGTGGTGATCGGGCTTGCATTTCACAATGACTCAGCGAGCTACACTGGCTGGAACGGTTTTTCCCTTGAGGTCCTAGTATGGCAGAAAGGTCAGTTGAATGGTGGTAAAACGAAAAGCAGTTACCGTTGCACTGTACATTGCTACACTATGATAGGAGTTTGAGGGCTGGGTGGGTGGGTGGGTGTGACATCAGTAAGGTGTTTCTCTTGGATGACTAGCAGTGCCATGCCAATGCCGCCTTCCCTTACGCCAAAAAGTAAGGTCGACCCCAAAGATAGCATACTCTTCCCTGCTCCCACGGTCGTGCGGTACCAGAGTTATGGGATCCTCTCTCTCCGGCATTAGAATAACCAAATCTGAAAATAGCATCCCGCAAAAGGCTCTATGGGACAGCCCTCAAGCAGATGTCCCATAGGCTCTGTGGTCACACAAATCTTTTTCTGTTTCACATACCTTAATCATTAGTTAGTTTATCAGGCAACACTTTGAATCTAAGCACTTGTTGGTTCTCATCGACCAAGGATTTCTTATTTTATGAACAATGTGTATGTCATTTTGTCTGTTGGATGTATGATTTCGGATACTTTGTCTACTGTTTCTACATTTAAGAAACACTAAGTGTACTTTCACAAAGCAGTTTCTGGACAAATAGAAAACATTTCTGCTGCTAATATGTATAACCTACTAATACACTCATCATGTATCCTTTTATTTGCTACATTGAAGCTTCCAAGCTCATAAAATTACTGATACATTCATGTTTTTAACCTTTTTGTTTTATTTTCTAAACTGTCTTTTTCCTCTTTGTAGATTTCGAAACTCATGAGAACTAGTGAAGTTGAACAGATTTTCCAGTCAATTATGAACCCTGATAGTAGTCAAGCTTCGCATAAGAAAATATCCAAATATGATCCATCATGTCCACATTCAAGTGTCCTTGCAAAGCAGCCGACTGATTCTGTTGTATCTCAACCTGTCTTGCGGAAACCGAAATCAAACACCGATTCTGTTGATGGATCACGTAAAGTTGAAGAATCTGGTAATGGTTTGGTTCAATCGCTAACTCAGCAGCTTAATACAGTTGTATCTGTAGTCCGTGAAGTCACTGATCAAGGGGATGTATATGCTGCAGAATTGGAGGAAGAGTTGCATAGACTGAGATCAGAGAATGCTGGTCTTCGAGAGCTTTTAATGATATCATCTGATTGCTGTCCTGATACCAATCTTGGTAACTCAACTCTTCTACCTCCTGTGTCTCTGCCGAAAAAAGTTTCTATACAGGATGAATCATCACTACCTGAACCACCAGGGCGTTTCATTTTCCTTAGGGAGGATCCAAGTTCAATTCGTTCATCACGTATGGATGAGTCTTTGAACAGTTTAGAAGTTAACGGGAACTCGTTATTTTATGATGCTCCTAGTGACAACGGCGGTGATGCAGGAGTTTGTAATATTGACAGTGATAATCATTCAAATGTGGATAGTGGAGATGAAGATGTCACAGTGTACGGTAGTAGTGATGAGTCACAAGCATCGTAAACAATGTGTGTTGGAATTGAATCAAATCCTGATTGTTCATGGTTTGAATATCCTTATATGCACACAATAGTCTTTTGTCTACTTTTCAGAAGAGCAAATAATAATGACTCTCATTGCTTTTATCCTACTTGTTATGTGTGTGTGTATGCGCTTAAATGTGGACTAATAGTTTTCAGCAGACAATTATTGTATCAAAGACTAGTGAAGTGACCATGTGTATGTATGGTCCACGGTATGGGATACTTTTTCCCTTCAATGATTTAGCATATATTCCCCTCTTTTAGTTCTTCAAATTCTATGAAATACCGGTTATTTTTATTTTTTACAGGTGTATAACTAGCAAATAATTTCATGTACTGACTGTGACAAACTGCTAAAGATTTTAAAAAAAAGGGTGTTAACTTGTTTCAATCTGAAATACAGTTATCGTATATGTATTTCATTATTAGTTAATTTATACTTTGCATATATTTATCTAAGGTTGAGTATACTTAACTTATCGCCTTCAATGAATTTTATTCAATAACTAATAATGTGCTTTATTTGTAAGTTTATGCTAGAGATTTCCGGTTATGTATATTTTCCTTTTTTGTAATAAAACGGGAATTAGATTTACATTTAGTGAACTTGAATTATTTTTCGTTGTCATTTTAAATAAACCATGGCATGTACAGAACTCTGTAACCGAAGTGATTGATAGAATCCATTCGATTTGTCCTACATATTACAATGCTTTTTTTTATACGGTTAGATATATCAACATTGTTATTCATTTTCAAATGCTTAAGAACTGAGTGATTACTTCGCATAATTAAACTGTTGAACTGCATAATTAAAGTTATTTTACGCACTTGGTATACGTGTTTAATAGTGATCTACTGATTTATTGTGACGATGATGATTAACAGAGGAGTAAAAAAAAAAATCATGCTTCATAATGTCCAGATGATTTTTGTCATAGGTCTGTAGAACTGACGCTGAAACTACTCCAACAAAATATTGCAGAAGCAATCAGATACAAGATTTCACATGTTCTAATCAAACAAAACTATTGAGAAAAAGAAGGAGGGCTATGGATTTCGCTCCTTGTAAAATGATAAGAATACGCTCATTATGCCGATTGACAAAGGAAACACCACTGTTTTCGTGAACATATCAGACTATGATAACTCATTTGAAACAAAACGATAACCTTTAGCGAAGTAACGTGAATATGTTCATTTTTGGTGTGATAAGTATAGGAAGTGTGGATTTTTTCTGTGCAAGATTCATACTTTCTTTTGAGATGTTTCAGTTTCTCAAGTACACCTTATCTGAGAGTGAAGTTGTGCGTGATTTTTCGCTTGCATATATGCATGATATATACACTAATATCTTGCAAAAGAATTGTAGATGGTTGTGTTAGATAGTAATTATGTGTAGGTAACCGTATACCGTGATATTCTTAACAAATTTATTGTTGATTGGACTATCTGAGATAGTTGTAGTTCAGAAGACTGGTATTACTGATACGGGGTGACTATGGTAAAATGAGGACCGATTTCATAGAAAGATTGGAACTAGTGTCCTCCGGATACTAGGAATGCTTTAGTGCTGGTCTAGTTATTTGCATCAGGAAGCATCGAATCTTCTCTCTGTTATATTACCACATGCCTGTTGTACGTAGTCATTAGAGCTGGGGAACATAAGAATTTTGTGACGTCTCAAAAACTTTTCGCGTGTTCTGTTTATGCGTCTAAAGTTTTATTTTGGCCTCTTTTAACCTGAGCCTAACGGGACAAATTGTGGTTAGGTTTCAGTAACATTCCATAGCCAGATGAGTTGGTGAAGATTCATAAATGATTAGCTATTTCTCCGAAAACACTAGATTTTACTTCCCCTTTATTAAGGTTGTGGTTCCTTGACACATGCTGCGAAGGGGACCGTGATCGAACACCTGAAGCCTTATCATGTTTTCCACTGGGATATTTCGCCAGAACCATGTGTGGTTCAAGTTGTTCAAAGCTAGTTAGGCTTTTTTATTCATACCAACATTCGTCCGTTCACTGGCCTACTGAAGCTGATTTGACTTCCTGAGTAATTGGAGGAGTGGTGGACGCTCCCTATTGTTAGACGAGGCGCCAACGTAAAAACATTTAGGGCTTCAAATGCTCTTTCAGTATTGACAGAGTTGTGTTTTGTTTTAGATGGAGATTTTGTGGTGGACCCTGATTCGCTTTCGAAGTAGAACCGCAAATTTTATCATGAATATTTACAAACGTTTATTGATTTTGTATTATGTTACTTACTCTTAATAAGTAGCATAATTTCTCTTTGCCAAATTCCACCGCAGCTAACTACATAGTTATCGTGGCAACCTAGTTAATCATAGAGATGATAATAACCTACATTTTTTCGGGTTTCTTCATTTGATGTAATACTTTATTGTTTTGACAGGAAGAAAATCCCTTTGTGAGCAAGTGGAAAAAACTTGAACTTGGTAACAATTGCTCTCAGTTAGCTCCTCACTAACGGCAATATACTAAACCGCGGATTTTAAAGAAAGACACAATGTATCAGTCTGTTGGCATTAGATCACTCAGTATCAATTGACCAGTCCCAGGTATAAAAATTGAAAATCCTCCAAGAGAATAAAGACAGAAACTGAGACGTAAAATAATTGCGCAGTCAACTGGTGACAGTTGAAAGCAAATTGTTAAATAACCCATCGTTTACTCAACAAATGGTTAACTATTGGTAGTAATAGTTAGGAATGAAAAAGGTTACAGGTTGGTTAAGGATTTGAAAGGGGGTTTTTCTTGCGTATTGCGATATGGTATACAGATTAGTGTATATTATTATTTGTTCCTTGGATTCCTAGGGAAACATAAGGCTTCAGTAGTACGTCACCATTTCACTCTCTTCTCTCCAGTCTTTTCAACCTGGCTCCACCACTGCCCACAGTCTTTCATTTCTTCCTCACACCATCTCCTCCATGTCACCCTCACATCAGACGCCCAACTCGTCATTCCCCTTCGGATTCCACTCGAGGACCTCACTTGGTGTGTCCTGGCCTAGCATGTGATGTCCCCAATCGACCTTCTCACTATATCTCCAATCCAATCCATCTCCACTTTCGTGTGAATATTTGTTGGACGATAGGTTGTTGGTTAGTTCGTTGCCAGTCAGTCAGTCAGCCAGTGAGCCGGCCAGTCACAGTTCCTTGTTGCTTATTTTTTTTGTTGATGTTGTTGTTGTTGTTGGTTGGTTAGGTATCTTCATCACCTCTTTCTTCTCTACATTCACCTTAAGGAATTCCGGTCTTTGTTGGCTCACCTGTTCTACCAACTTGTTGGTAATTGCCTGTAGATCTTCGAGTTTGTGCGACAAGACATCAGACATAAATCATCATCATCATCGACGGTGAAATGCAAATCTTGTAGGATGTTTCCATCGTTCAAACAGCATATGCCCATCTTCTTTCGTCTCACGGTTCGCTGCATGATCCAGTCCAGTCCAGTCCAGTCCAGCCGAACACAATTACGAAGATGATGGGTGATAGTAGGTGGCAACCTTGTCTCACTCCTGTCTTCACTTCACTTCAAAGGCGTCACTCAGCTTTCCATTGTCAATCACTTGGCATGTGGCGTCATCATATGGCACATGTAGCTATTGAATGGGGTTGATAAATGTTTGTGACACGGAAACCTCAGTGTTGAAGAGGCAACTACCAAATTACTTGTGGTCGACGCCTGGATCAAAGGCCTTTGAAAGTCGATGAAGTTGAGGTGGAGATTCAGTTGACTGTCATTCTATGCTCTGTTCTATGATGATGCGAAGTGTAGAGTTGAAATTTGATACACACATGATTTGTACTTCCTGAATCCAGTCAGCCAGCCTGTTCCGGTCATAATTTGTAATCCAGCGCATCCTTCAGTCGCCCCTGTACGATGTGGTGTAATATTTTGTTTGGGGTGGACAGGGATAGGAGCGTGATTTCGCGCCAGTTGGTATAAAGACTTGGGTCTCTCTTCTTTGGAGGTTTGACAAGGTAGCCCTTCTTCCAATCAACGGACATATAACTTCCCTTCCTTCCTTCCTTCCTTCCTTCCTTGGAAACACCTTCCACGGTAGTGATGTGAGCATGTCCGCTGTTGTCTCTGTGTCTGTTTCCAGTGCTTCTGGTGTAATTCCATTTGGTCCTGCTGCTTTTCCGAATCTCAGCAGTTTTATGGCACTCAGGACTTCGACATTTGTCGGAGAGCCTGTGTTCATTGGTAGTTGTGTAGCTGGGCTGCTGGTGGTGTCTCCAGACGAGTTGCATTTGGTGGTGGTGGTGGTGGTCGATTGGAGAGCTTTTCGAAGTGGTCAACCCATCATTCCCTTCCTTTCGCCTGTTTGCTAACTAAGTTTCCTTCACTATCTCTCATCGCCTTCATCTGTGTTGATCTCTTCCCTCCAGATGGTAACCTGACTATTTGATATGATATTATCAGGTCTCTCTAAACTGCAACCTGTTCTGCTTCACATGCCAGTTTGTCGTAGCAGTGTTTTTTATCTTTCCATGTACTCTTCTTCACTCCGTTGTCCGGTGTAGTGTTTTATAGATTGTAGTGTACTCAATTCCTCTTTTCGTTGTTCATGCTTGCTCTTCACTGGTTCATCTTCTACTTCACCATCACCATCTTATTCTCCCTCCTCTATCAGCTTCCATGTGTCCATGGAGATGGATTCATTGTCTTGTCTTGCTTCTTCTTCCTTCCTAACATGGTTATGCATGTTTTCTTCCACATCTCTTTCAAAGATTTCCAGTGTTCTTCCACTCAGGTTTCTCCAGAGATGTTGCTCAATGTCTCCCATTTTGTTCTGATGACTGACTGACTGGCGTGAAGATGTGCTTTGAAGTTTCGTGCTTCAGTGCAGTTTCTGTTCTGGGTGTTGAACTTCAACTGTGGTCGTCTATCACCAACTTATATGAAGGCGTCCAACTTGATATTGAAGGTGGGTTCCTTGTACTAGATAGTGATTGGTGTGAACCTACCTGCATCTGCTCCCCTTCTTCATCTGGTCTTGTGTCCATTAGGCTGTGTCTCCACTTTCTTCTTCACATTGAGATGAAGTTGATCTGATTTTTAGCATAGTGTGTCGTTGTGTCTGGTGAGATGAAATCCATGTCGCTGCCTTGTGAATATCCTTGTGTTTGTACACACTGCCTCCAATCACCGAATCGTTGAATGCGCAGAAGTCTGCAAACAGTTCTCCATTCTCGTTTGTCATTTCACCGAGTGCTTCTTGACTCATGGTTGGTTTTCTTCCTATGTTGTCAGCTGCGAGTTTGGCATTCATGTCACCCCACCCATTAGAATGAATTTTGATGTCATCATGTCCATCTTGGGTCTTGTTTAGTGTTGATTGCAGTTGTCTATAGAATTCCTTCTTCTTCTCTTCATCTGCATTATTGATAGGTGTGTAGCGTTGTGTAACATTGTCTGATTGTGACTTTCCTTCCTTTTTCATTGATTCCTGCTTTCATGTTCCTGTTTCTGCAGGAGGAGATTTGTTCCCACTGCATGAGTGCCTTCGATGCTGTTGGGACATTGTGATAGCCATTCGAAAATTCAGTGTGCTGGTGGTTGTCGTCTGGGTGACAATATCGGAGTAGATTACTGACTCTCCAGTTGACAGTTTGGAGTGTCCGCTTCCATTCCATCTGCTTTCTCAGATTCTTAGCCTAGCACTTCTATGCTATACATTCGCATCTCTTTTGCAATCTGGGCAGCCTTGGTTGGTTTAAATATTGTGTGGACATTCCATGTCCCCACGTTTACTTTCACTTTCATCGAGAGAAGAGTAGACGCATCGGCCAATTGGCTTCCTGAAGGCTTTCACCAACCGGCGTTTTTTCGCCTCTCCTATTCCAGTGAGGAATAAGTTT